ATTTTGGAACACAAAATTTCGTAACAAAAACTTAAATTGTAAGCGAAAGCAGCAAAAAGTTGCATTTCGGAGAGCAGTAGACGAAGCGAGAAAGTAAACAGTAGAGAAAGCAGCCTAAGACCAGAACGGGAAAATGGAAAACTTTGAAAGAAATTTTGAAAACGTGTTGGAAAAATATCAGAAAAAGTACAAGCTTATTTTAAGCACCTTCGCGCCTTATCTTTAAGAACGTAAATAAATCGAAGCATGATGAGAAAAAGTAACCAACAAAGAGATAGCAAAACAAAAAACTTAAATTAAAATAAATTTAATACGAAAACATTGTACATTTAGAAAATACGGGCAAAATTGAGCAAAGTTTCGATACATCTCCAGGTAGTTAACCTTATCTAAGCTTAAGTTTGATTCGATCCGGTCAAATTCGGGCTCGGATACTGCAGAAAGCACATTAAGTTTCCCCTCAGTTCGGGTATTGTGAAAAATCAGTCTTAAATTGTAGACACGAGCGAAGAAAGGATATTATGAAAATATGAAAACGAAAAAAAGCAGTAGAAGAAAAAGCAAAAAGAACATGACTAGTCGACAACTGAGGCAGTGCCAGGATCTGATCCTAAAAATCAGTTCCGGTCCTCGCTGACAATTGAAACCGAATAAACAACCAACAAAATTCAAAAACATTGCAGCAGCACAATTCAAAATTAAAAAAAGAAAACAAAAAAGCAAACAAAATTAACAAAATTCATAACTGCGGCTCGGAGCATATAGAAAAGAGTGTATGAAAGGTATGTTAAAAGTAAAAATCCAAAAAGCTAAAGCGAAGATTGAAAGAAAACGTAAACTTTATGTTCCCCAAATCTCTGTAAATGTTTAGATGTATGAAAGAAAACCAGTCGAGGACACTACTTAAGTTAGGTTTTGGTAGGGCTAAGACCGACCTCAAATTAAGATGTGTATGTAAAAAAAATTAAAAACTAAAATGAATACTATAAAGGTAACGCTATGAATCCTAACCCATTCGCCCGATGTTTAGTTTTAAAATTTGATATGTATCTATACCTTGTCCATCAGATAAACCCCATTTCCTTATTTTTGAGATTTGCTAGCGATGGACCGACTATTTGGGGGTGATTTCCTTTGCATTACCGAGCTACTTGGCGATTTGTGAGCCGGGCCGAAGTATTGGCAGTTCTCAAGCCTCGAAAATAAAACCAAACTGCCCGGCCAGCGGCCAGGACAACGGCATCCGGCTGGCCGGGCAACTCCAGGACATCCAGATCCGTTTCGCACCATAGCACTCAAGGCAATACTAAGACAACCAGCGGCGAGAGAGAAGCAAAAAGAAAGCAGAAGACAAGGCAAAGGACAAGTTTCGAACCAAGGATTTCGGTAACATTTCGAACGCAACTTTCGGCAGAGTTTCGAACAACTTTGGATTAGGCTTTTGTTGTTAATTTGTTTTTTTGCGACCACGTCTCCATAGCACTCGAGCAACATGCAATATGCAACAGCAACATGCAACAGCAACACACACAATGCAACACAGCAAGCAGCAAGCGGCAACGTGATACACGAGTTGAGCAAGTGAAAAGCAATTTTTGAAATGGGGCCACAACGTCCGATCTAAAGTGCCTTCAAGTAACAATGAAAACAAAAGAAAACAAAAAGAAAATACCAAAAATAAAAGCTGTTAATTTTTTATGTAACTAAAAAGCAAGCGAAGAGGAAGAAATTATAAATAAAAATTGTATAAAGAAATTAAACGTGTAAAAAGTATAAACAAATTAAAACAAAAACAAAGCGATAACGATGGTGAACGCGAAAGCGGAAACGAAAGCGTAAACGAAGAGAAAGGGCTCCAAATAGACCGGAAAGCAATCAAAAACCAAAACTGCCTCAAACTTCGGCCTGGTCACACTGTCCCTCCGAAGGAATCACCCGATTTGGGCTAACCAAGCAACGGCAAATCGATCGCAAATCTCAAAATAAAAATCCAAAACAGCCCCAATTCCCAACCCAATTTTCGAGACCCATCCCTAGCAAAAAGTTTAAATTGACTACCTAATTAAGCGAAAAAAACATGTATGTATTTAGTTCTAGTATGTAAACGAACGGAAATTCTCACAAAACTCGATTTAGACAAACATTATGTGTGGGAAAATTAATGATTTAGACTAGCGCGAAGACAGCAACAAAGGTTTGGATATAGACATCACGAGTATACCCCCTATACCCTATTCCCCATACATACATACATACGCCTATAGCGCTGAGTTGCTCATCTATCAATGTACTTTAAAACACGAAAAAACACAGCCACACTGACACTTGGCATGTACTATGCTACATTTAATTTAGATTTAGAAGCGAATAACTAATATTCAACTCAAAGTTAAGCGGAAACGGAAACAGATGATATGAGATGAACTAGGAACGGCATACTGATGAGGTGGCAATTAGGTATAGAGCGAACTATATTTAAGGACTCGGAACTAGCGACACTAAAAAGCGCGACACAGGATCGCAGATAAACTATAAGACTTTCCAGAAACGAAGGGGGAAACCTGCCGTTTCCCACTTTTGTGCTTCTTCCTACCCCTAACACACTGCAGACAACAGAAAACACACACGAGAGATCTTGAGTTGGCAGCATCGTAATCGTTTCTTTAGTCGACGATGGGAAAGAACTAGCAAAAATTAGCAAAATTTAAAATTGATTATGTAACACACGCACACCTCTCACACACACACTCACCCAGACACCATGTATATAAGTGTGTATATTCCTTTGAGCAGAACATTGTATAACCGAACGATTACGATACCAAACACACACATTAAAAACCCAAAAAAAAACTAAAAACAAGAAGAAAACCGAAAACACCGAGGTGTGTAAAGGGTTCTTTGCTTACAACTTTTCAAACGTATTAAACCGTTTCGGCCAACCTTTAGGATTGACAAAAGATCGACTTGAGGAACACAGCCCCGCCCACTCGGCTCCAAAAAAAAAAAGTGAGCGGTGGGCGAATGGGAGAGAATGCATCGTTTCGGTTGATGGATGCAAACGATCGAAATTTATTGGGCCCCCTGGAGGGCCAAGTGAAGCCAAATCGAGCCATGAAATTGATTTATGTTCAATTAAGCAAGCAAAAACAAAATGCGAAAATTGTGAAAAATATAGAAAAATGAATACTTTCAGTTACAATACAACAATAGACCGGAATGATTTCCAAGCAATAGTACAAACAACTTTAGAGATAACTTTTATAATGTAATTGTAATCTAAGTGGTAGAAGCAGAGCTCCGGGAAATGCGAAAAGGCGGGGATAAACGCCAAAACAGTAATCCTCGAGAACCCGGAGCTAGATGAGAGTTAAAAAACGAGAATGCATATACGAATGCATATACGATTTACCCTAATTTATTCTCAGTTCGAATTTTAACACACATTGATTTGAAATTTGATTAGTGCGAAGTAAGCGAAATTGAAGGCCAGCAGAAGCCGAAGACATTTTCGAAATTCCAACTTGACATATGACCGCAGGACCTTCCCTTCCTCAGAAGCTGGAGGCCAAGCAAAAACGATTGAATCAAGTCACTTCACACACAGTTTAAATTTATAAGAATATGTACTAACAATAGGAAACGTCGTCACCCAATTTCCCCAATGTCCCAATGCCCCTAAAACTCACACATTACTATTTACCACAATATGAAACGAAAGCAAAGAAAAGTAAAGAAAACCAAAAGTAATGCAAAGGTAAAATCAAGCAAAACAAACATATATGTATGAATGTAATACGCGGTGGAAACATACAAAGTTGGGAAACGAGAAAATTTCACAATCGACTATGTCGCGTATACACTTACGATAGTACGATATACTAACTTTATATGATTAACTAACTCATTTCGAATGAACCATAGCGATATATGTAAGCCACGTTTTGGTTTCGGTTTCGATTTCGGTTCCGTTTTATACTTTGGTTTGGTGTACACTTTTGGAAACTTCGGAAAAGCATTTCAGGCCAAACAAATTGAAAAAATAAATACCCTTTTTGGACCAGTTTTGTTCCCGCAAAATCGGAAAAAATCGCACAAAATTGTACATTTAGCGCAACCAAGAAATTACAATTAAAAGCCCCGAAAACGGAAAATCGAAATTTGGATTTACATTTAGAGAATGCATTTAGCGCAAAGCAAAAGCAAACGACACCACACCACACAACACCATCACACCACAAGATGAATGAAAATATGTATGACGTAAATTCAGTATTTGGGATATAAGCGAATATAATTACATACAAATTTATATTTATGCAAGTGACAAAATCGAAAGACATCATACTAAAAACGTGTAATGGAAAGGAAATTGTAAAACAAGAGGAAAACACTAAACTACAATATGACATTTTTAATCGAAAAAAAAACAAACTTATTTTATTGAAAAATTATGTAAAATTTACTAAGGAAAAATACAAAAAACACACAATAAAACTATATTGTTTATTTTCATCTTTAAAAATAAAGTTTTAAAATCGTATAAAAATAGTAATAGACTTGTTGGTGTTGTTGTTTCTTGCGGGGGAAAAAGAAAGGTAAGAGGATGAGCTTATAGGTATGTTTGTATGTAGATCAACTACCAGAAAACAAAAAAATATACGCAATGTAAAGTATTAGATTTGCAGGGAATCCCTAATGAGAGATCCTAAATAGAAGAAGAGAATGTCGTTTAGAAAATGCCATTGATCAAGGATGAAAAATTGGTATTTAAACGAGAAAATAGTTGAAAATAGGAAGACAGATTCCCTTGGGCAAATTTCAATCTGGCATACGAGTCGTATACGCAATTTGGTTTGAAACTTCGGTATTTATCCGCGTTATCCGTAAATGCACATTCAGCCCTTAGCCAGTACATCATCCAATGTTAGCCAGTGCACCCACTATTTTCCGATTAACCGGATAAGTAAGTAATCGAAATTGTGCCATCGCTAAAGCATTTGAGTACAACAACAAAAACAGCTGTTCGTACATTACGCAAAGGTTTTTTCCACATTTGTTTATTAAAAATGTCGCTCCTGGGCGCCTTTGCCAGGTGAGTGAATGCACCTGCTCCCCAGAAGTATCTCTGCTAACTGTTGGCCAACACCCTACCTCACAGATTGGGACTACAGAGGAGTGGCGGAATAGCCGGTGTCGCCGTCGCACGTTGTCTTCACACGACTCCCGTTCTCTGCGCGGAGCCCCTCAAGAAAAAGAAGAAACTGGATCCGCAGATCGTCAAGCAGCGGGAGGATCGCAAGAAGAAGAAGATCGAGAAGCAGATCCGCCGGCTGGAGAAGAATGCGCGGCAGCTGAAACCGGTGGAGGAGCTGGAGGTTCCGCTGGAGCTCATCGATGAAAAGGAGTAGGTTTTCCCCTTGAACCTTACTCACTAGTCAGAATTGTAATGCTTTTCCTATCCCAACCAGCAAACGGCAAAGGAAACTAACCCCACTGGGCAGCGCTGAGCTGGAGGAACGTGCTCTGCTCAAGAAGCAGTGGGCGCACTACAAGCACGACGAGCGCGTGGCCGACTTCCAGATCATCGACAGACTAGTGCAGGCACAAAACAAGGCTCTGGCCGAGCTCCGTCGCGAATCCGAGGAGCTGTACCAGGCTGCCATCGAAGTGGATCCCCAGCTGCTGCCCGTTTCACTCAAAGGACCCGTGGCCACGCCCCCCATCAAGAACTATGCCAGTCCCGATGGAGACTACCTGCATCAGTCCATGAAGTGGGAGGTCAAGTGAGGTGGGCATGTGCCTGAGGTCATAGATTTGAAATAAACAGAACCCTTAATCCTACAATGCCACTTATCTTTCACTTATTTATCAGCGACCGTAAATAATCGTTATTTGAGATTTTTATTTTAAAAGATCGACTGAAATTTGTACAAGTTTTAATCAACAATTTAACTGGTTTTATGCACTTTATAGACATAAATTTAATTTGCTTTTTAGATTTGTTGACATGCATATACTTTGTAAAAAAAGAGTAAAAATAAAGTTATTTCGGACGTTTAAAACAAAATATCACAGTAGTCTTTTTAAAATAAAAATCTCCAATAACGATTATTAACGGTCCCTGTGATTTATACATCATTATGGTCAAAAAAGACACATTTAACTTAAGGAATAACCCATTAATCTATGGAATTTTAAGCTACTAAATAGAGACCTAGTTTGGAGTCAACTTGATGCGTTGTGTGGCGGTTTTATTGTTATCAGTGGAGAACGAGAATAAGGCAGGTGGCGATGCCTGCCGAGCCCTTTCGGTGAACTGTCGAAATAAATAATACGCGAGAGACGAAGCAGTAGCTGCTTTTTTATGTTGATCTTGGGATTGATGGGACTGCGGAGCGACTTCTTACGAGGGAGTGGTGGCGGTGGTCTTGGCAGCGGCCTGCCGCTTTTTCACGCCCCAGTTGTAAACCCGCGCCATATTTACCTCAGTGGTTGTGATTTGATCCCTGAAAAAGATATGTTTTTATTGAAACAAAGTTCTTTCTCTGGGGAAAGGAGGATTCCAAACTAACCTCAGAAAGTCCTGGTCGTGCTCCACCGACTTCAGGTTGCCCACGGCCGATGTGATGTTCTGCTTGAGCAGCGCCTCAGCCTCGTCCAGCGGGTACTCGAGCATCACGCTGGCCCCCAGCCAGAGGTAGACTGTTTTCGTGGGCGGCACCAAAGTTTTGATGAACACCTGGTCGCTGAGCAGGAACTGCGTCTCGCGCTCCTCGTCCTCCTTGCGCAGCACATTCACCATCTCCAGGGAGCGCTCGAGGTCGGGGATTTGGGACTTGAGCTTGCGGCGCCTCGCCTCCAGGTTGTAGGCCATGAAGCGATACTTGCCGTGCTGCTCGTCCAGTCGCTGCAGCACCTTCTCGCAGTTCTCGTTCTCCGGCTGCGCCATAAACGAGTCGATCTCCTCCTGCAATCGCCGAAGGAACGTGGATTAGCCTCCAGTCGCCAGCTGCAGGTGCTGCACGCTTGTAGGTTAGGACCACACTCACCAGGAACACTGCCTCCGGGATGCCGGCGAAGGTCTTCTGGTTTTCCGGTAATTTGGGCATTTCCACCGAGTCCATAATGCCAGTCATCCTGATGCCTTTATCCCTGCCGTCTGCAAATGCAATTTAATTTCCAGGAGGTCAGCCTGCCGCTGTAAAAGTCGATGGAGATGAGTCAAAATTGCGACGGAACTATTGGATGGGCGCCCCCGCCAGACGATGTTATCGATAGTTAATATTTATTGTTTAAATTTTAAATATTTTTAATTGGTTATTAAATTTAGGCTATTTAGAAAACAGCAATAAAATAATTATTTTTTTATTATAAATTTAAATAATTAAAAACACCCATCGATACTGTCATCTCTAATATCGATACGCTGATAATCGATATCAGCCAGCCGCGTCGATTAACGCGCCCGCTTGTGAAATTGGCGAAAAAAGAATAACCAAAGGATGAGCACCTGGAATCCGGAGAACGATGTGGACCTGCTGTCCGGCTCCGAGGACGAGGAGGAGGTGGCCATGAAACGGGACTACCACGGCCGGGAGGCCCTGCTCTTCGTGGTGGACGCCAATCTGCAGACCGCCGGCGTGGAGCGCCTGATGGAGGCACTGAACATCATCCGGACAGCCTTTATATCCGGAATCCTGGTGAACGACAAGGACCTCATCGGACTCATCTTCGCCAACACCAAGCACAGTCCTCCGCCGCTGGAATCGAACGCCCTGGACAGCATCGTGATGCCGCAGGACTGCGCCGTCTTCCTGCCCCTGCGACAGCTAACCAAACCCATTGTGGAGCACTACCTGGAGTTCATGGGCGGCGTGGAGACGCAGTTCGCCCAAGTGTACGGCCTGGCAGAGCCCGATGGCCGCGGCAGGTTCGACTACATGATCCGGCTGTGCATCGAGCTGCTGGAGAAGTGCGGCAAGAAGCTGAACAACGCCAAGATCGTTTACTTGACCGATGTGCCGAATCCGACGACCAGTGATCACTTCCAGGCGGCCCTGCAGAAGGCCAACGATTTGGAGGGCAAAGAGTTCGAGTTTCATGTCATTCCCATGGTCGATGACTTCGACTATGAGCCTTTCTACAAGGAGTTTATCACGCTTTCAAGGGGTAAGTCATGGAATTTTATTTATTTATTCACATACTGTTTGCTTAAAGTTAAAAACTAAAGCTACAGGAATGGGCAGCCATAGTTTGAAATGATAAATTCAGTTTAATATTCTGTTATTAATGCCTAAGTGTATAATTCTGGTTTAAAGTTAATAAATTCATTTGTTTGAAATTCATTTCTTAATTACAAAATTTTTAGTTCAATTACATTTCAGGTTATATAGATATCTTAATATCTAATAGATAGATATGTATAGTTAGTTGAAGATTACATAAATGCGAAGTCTGTTCCCCTTGCTGGCGTTGAATTTTCGCCTAGGAGGTTTGAAGACTTCGCAGATCAAGCATGAGCAATCATTCACCCGCGTCCAAGTGAAGCTCAATTGGTGCGTGGTTTTGGATTAGCTTACAATACTGAAAATGTCGTTAAATAAGACTATTGCTTATAGATAATACTTAATAATAAAACCTATCTGCTTACAGCCATTGAAATGGACGCCTTTCAAATACCAGATGCCCAAATGCTGCGCGAAATCCTGGCAGATCGCAAGCTGAAGCAGGACTTCCTGCGCCGCTGCCTCGGTCACTTCAGCTTCTACCTGGGCCCCAACCTCTCCATGTCCGTGCAGTACTACAACTACTTTCAGCGACGCGCCTATCCGCGCAAGGTTCAAATCCTGCGCAGGGACAACAGCCTGGTGAGCACCAAGCGGGTGATAATGGTGCAAAAGAAGGACGAGGAGTCGCAGGAAGTGCTGCACGAGTACCAGATCAAGTCGACGGGCGGCTGGTACAGTTGCAACGTGGGCGGCAGGAACCTGCGCATAAGCACGGAGCAAGTGAACCGGGTGCGCAACCTGCACAAGCCGCAAATGATGCTGCTGGGCTTCAAGCACCGCTCCTCTCTGCCAGAAGTGACCTACAGCAAGCCCTCGAACTTCATGTATCCCGACGATCAGAGCATCATAGGATCGAAGCGTCTGTTTCGGGCCTTGTGGGAGCGCTGCTTGGCGCGCGAGAAGATAGCCATCTGCCTGTTTATGTGCAAGCGCAAGTCCATGCCGCGCTATGTGGCACTGGTGCCGGTGGAGGCCCCAAATAAGGAGGAGGAGAAGAACTATCGCTCGCTGCTCTGCGGCGATGGATTCAAGATCGTCTACTTGCCGGAGTCCAAGCACATTCGGAACATAGACATGTATGACTGGAACGATACAGGGAATTCGGCAAGCGACGAGGGCGTCGAGTTTTTCCAGAAGGTCATCAAGAAGCTGCGAGTTGACTACCAGCCGAATCTGATCAACGATCCAAGTCTGGACGCCCTGCAAGCGAATCTTCTAGCTCTTTCGCTGGACTTTACGACGGACAACAAAAGCATCGATAATCTGCTGGACACCACGCAGCAGGACAAGCGCATCGAAAAGCTCTTGCCCGACTACGACAAGATCTTCGATCCAGAGATGGAGCCGGCCAAGAAAAGGGCGGCAAAATCCACGACAGACGGTGCAAGCGCCCCGAAAATGCCAAAGATCGACGAGGAGCAGCTCAAGAACTTGGACTATGTAAAGGAGCTAATCAAAATAGAGAAACTGACGAGCTGCACAGTCGCCCAACTCAACTTTATTCTAAAGGAGCATTTCGAAGTCACGATGGGCAAGTCAACTAAGGCAAAATTAGCGGAAAGAATCGAGGCGTTAATCAGTTGATTTATATAATTTACAGCATAAAGTGATACGAATGGTATAATTCTTAGTATTAAGATTGTTTTGTTAAGTCGTTTAAGTTGGCGACACAATAAAATTTAATTAAAGTTACGTTCAGAAATAAAAGATGTGATCATCAATAAAATGTAATTATGAAGGTTCAATGAAATCGAGCTTAAATGGTATGTTATATATTTCGTTAAGGTAAAATGAAAACAGTTTTGCTACACTTTATGTTAAGGAATTCCATAAGTAAGATTATTTTAGATTTACTTGTTTACCGATTTAAGGAACAAACATTAATAAAAATGGAAATAAAAGCACATTCAGGAAGTAGTCAACAAAAAATCAACCTTATCACTTTTCAAAAATAGATGACAATCGTCTTTGAAAATCGATAATTCGGCAGCGAAATATTGATATCGATAGAATATATAGTGTTGCAAAACGCCCGTGGCCTACATGTGATAGCGCCGCGCCGGTTTTTTGTTGCGAATTTTTGGACATTGCGAATTAATTTATTGTGAACCGCTGCCGCAGAATGTCGCTGCAATTCCAAAACGACTGCGGAGATTCCGTGAAGCAGGCGATCATCGAGGAGCTGCAGAACCTGCTCAGCTCGGACACGAGGGTCCTGCAGCAGGCGGAGAAGCGGACGAAGCAGCTGGAGTACACGGAAGGTGATTTGGCGGGCAGCCAGGATGGCGTGGCTTGGGTGGCTTCCTCCGTCTAACCTTTGTCATTCCTCCCCAGGCTATGGCGTCTACCTCTCCGAGATCATCATGAACCAGGCGCACGAGCTGCCGCTCCGTCAGATCGCCATAGTGATGCTCACCCGGTATGTGGAGAACCACTGGTCAGATGACCAGGATGCGGGCGGAAAGACCAACGGCTGCATGGCCAGCGAGCAGGCCAAGCGCACCATACGCAACATCCTGCCCAACGGACTGTACGACCCGAACTCCAAGATCCGCTCCTCGGTCGCGCACACCATTTCCACCATAGCGGCCACGGATTACCCGCAGGGCTGGTCGGAGCTCTTCGACATCATTGTCAAGTGCCTGGGCGGCAACGAGGACTCCATTCACGGCGCCATGCAGGTCCTGCAGGACTTCACCTACGACGTGGAGCAGATCAAGGAACTGGGCCCGGTGGTCATTCCCGAGGTCTATCGCATTTTCGACTCGGAGCAGAATTACTCCATCAAAACCCGAGTGTCGGCCATTCGCATTTTGAAGCCCCTGTTCGCCTCCATAGCCACGCTCATTTCCAACAAGGATGAGCAGAGCACCATGATGAGCTCCATTCTGACCAACTTCATGGACAAGCTGATGCATTACCTGAGCATGAACAGCGGCGCCGGATCGAGTTTCCTCCTCCGCTCCGAGATTATCAAGGGTGAGTGGAATTTTCTCTTTACCCAGAAAGTAAACTAAACTTTCTTCTTTAGTGTTTACCCATTTGGTCAACGAGATGCCCAAGTACATAAACCCCTTCATGGAACGCGTTCTGCCCATTGTCTGGCAGCTGCTCACCCAAATCGCGGAGACGTACGTGAAGGTGTCGGTGAACCAGACCGAGACAAATCCTTTGGCCAGCGGCGACAGCGAGGAGGATGACGAGCAGACCAATTTCCAAACACTAATCATCCAGATCCTAGAGTTCATCAACTGCATTCTGACATGCAACAAACTGCGCGGCAGCATCAAGAATGTGCTGGCCGATCTCATCTACATCACAATCGTATACATTCAGCTGAGCGAGGAGCAGCTAGAGGATTGGCAGGATGATCCCGAGAAGTTCGTGGACGACGAGGATGACGGTGGCGTGGAGTTGACCGTACGCATGTGTGGCCGCGATGTTCTACTGGTAGGTGGCTTTATTTTATGGAGGCTTCTTACCTTATTAACCGATTATTCTAGGCCATTAACGACGAGTTCGGAGCCAATGCCATTCAGCCACTGCAGGAGGCCTTGGGCAGGCACTTCAGCGTGGCCGAGGCGGAGAAGGCGGCCAACAACCCGAACTGGTGGAAGATCCAGGAGGCCTGCATGGACGCCGTTCACGCCTTCCGCGACATCATCCTCGAGGGCGACTCCACTTTCGACCTGCTCAACTACTTGAACATAGTTCGTAATCTGCTTGTTCACCAGGAATCCCCACCTCTGGTCGGCCGCGCTCTTTGGACACTGAGCACCTACTCCAAGTCGGACCTCTACAATCCACAGATGTTGGCCGAGATCCTCGACGTCACGCTGTGCAGCCTGTCGCCGGAGAAGTCGCACATCCTGAGAATCAGTGCCGTTCGCACTTTGAATGGTTTCCTGCAGGCTAACGAAACTATCGAGGGAGAAAAGCGCAACTTGTTGGTGTCTAAGTTGCCTGGTTTCCTGGACGGAATCATGGCTTTGGTGCCGGGTTGCAAGGCCACCGTGTTGGCACTGCTAATGGAGGCCTTGACCATCATGGTTAAGGTAAATGATTGAAAAGCATTGATTGTCCTTAAATGTAATTAAATATCTCCTATTTGTTTTCAGTTCGATGCTGAATTCGCCTTTGCCAGCCAGGCCAAGATCACGCCCCTGGCCATTGCTGTGTTCCTCAAGTACACCGAGGATCCGTTTGTGCTGGAAACGGTGCAGGATCTCATCAAAGCGCTGTGCCAGCGCAAGGAGTGCCTGGGACCGCTGCAGGAGAAGTTCATTCCAACCATCGTGAGCATTTTGGGGCTGACAGGAGCAGCCTCCACGGAGAAGCAGGACATAGCTCTAGATGTCCTAAACACAATAGTGCGCTACACTGAGCCGCCGCTCAGCAGCTCTCTGCTGGAGACAGCCTTTCCCGCCATAATTAGCTGCGTCATGCAGACAGATGACCATTCCGTCATGGTGGCCGGCGGCGAGTGCCTGCGCAGCTTCATTAATGTCTCTCCCGAGCAGATTTGCAGCTACAAAAACGGCGAGGGAGTCAACTGCATCATGCAGGTGGTGGCCTCTGTCCTACTGAATCCCATGAACAGCGAAATGACGGCTGCCGGCCAAGTGGGACGCCTCGTCATCACGATTATCACCAAGATGGGCAGCATGCTGGGCCAGAACGTGGATATGCTCCTGAAGGCTGTGATAAGCAAAATGCAGAACCTCGAGTGCCTAAAAGTGATCATGAATCTGGTGTTAATCTTCGCCCATCTGTTCCTTACGCAAATGGACGCCGTGCTCAATTTTCTGTCCACTGTTCCCGGACCAAACGGAGAGCCAGCGATGCAGTTTGTGCTTACGAACTGGCTTTCACGCCAGAACTCATTCTTCGGAAACTATGAGAGAAAGGTGGGTAGAATTATATATATGATAACGTTTGTCTAATCAACTCTTTTCCTTTTCCCCAGGTCACCACTATGGCTCTCTGCAAGCTCTTCGAATATGGAGTGGCCACACAGGACAACCGCTTGACCACAATAACTTTCAAGGAGCTGGTCGACGACCCCACAGATACCCGTAGACGTACCCGCTCCGTGGCGGCTACAACCCAGAAGTGGGTCACCATTCCGGCGCTCGTCAAGATCTTCAAGGTGCTGATCTCCGAGTACCAGCACTTCGTGGAGAGCAAGACCGACGAACCACTCACGGACAGCGAAGAGGATGGCGAGGCTGATGACTCGCCTGGAAATGCAGCCAAGCCGAAGTACATCTCCGATCTGTTCGAAACTGACGAGGATAACGCCGATGACGAACAGCTGCTGCAGGAGCTGCTCAAGGAAACCAACTACCAGGGCGACATTGCCGACAATCTGCAAAAGTTCCTTACCACCTTTGCGCAGAACGAACACTTCCCCACCTTCTATGAACACCTCACCGAGGGCGAACGCCTCGTCCTGCTCAACAAGGTGCAGCAGAAGTAGAAGGATGCAGCTGGAGGAACCCCTCTTTTTTTACGTTTTGTACGTCGAATTGTGTTAATTGTATTTATATATTGTTGCTAACCCTTGGATTGAATAAACATTTATATATTTTCTAAATAATTGAATTAGGAGTTGGTTTTGGAATTTAAAATTCGAAACATTTGGTTATAAATACTCATAAAATATATATATTTAATTATTTTCACTTTACAATAGGAATCGAAATTGTTTAGGTTACCCAGCTTTAGATTAAGGTAAACCCAAATGGGATAAAGTTCGCATGATCATAAGGTCACCTCGTCGTGACGGAGCTTGTGCTGCAGTGGAATGTCAGGCTTATAGGCATCCTGGTGGAAAATTCCAAAATAAATCAGTTATACATTTAGCTAAGATCTATTGTACTTACCATGGGCTTTTCCGAGCCTAAGGTAAAGAACTTTCGTATGCAGGGGGTGAGCAGCACTGGATCCACTTTGTTGGGATTATTTTTACCAAACATCAAGGTGCCAAGCAGCGCGACAATAATGGTGATAGAGGCTCCAAAAGTGGTGTACCACATATACGAGATCCGGTAAAGCGGAAAGATGTCCCTATTATTTCGAGGATCATGAGTTATAATTACTGATGGGATTTATTAAACCTACTCTGCAGATGATGCCACCAGGTGAGTTGAGTTGGCCAGACTGGTGGTCACATTGAAGCTGTAGTCGCATTGCTCCACATTCAGCGCTTTGGTATGATAACTAATGGCTCCGGAAGCGATGGCCCACTGGGCATTTAGACTCACCCAGGACATGGCTATCACACCCATTATACCGCCCAGCAAAGCGCTCTGAAAAATAAATAAAATGAATATTTTCAATATTATTAAATTGATTTATACACACATTTCCATTGATCCAGGGAAGGAAAAGTCCTATAGTGAAGATGCCAAACAGTGGACCGTTCGTAATCGCCTCCAGACTCATGGTCAGCTGGAGGACAGTGCCCATGTGCTCCACCACGTAGACCAGGCACACACAGAGGGCTCCCACCCCGACGACCACCAGGCGCATGATCCAGTTGATGGCCGAGCTGGAAAGGGGCTTCTTCACATACGGCTTGACGAAATCCTCCAGCACCACGGCGGACATGGAGTTGAGGCAGGTGGAGAGGGAACTCAGGGCGGCACTGAAGACGCCGGCAATGAAGAGTCCCGTCATGCCGGGCAGTTCACCCAGCGTCTTCATCACAAAGAGCGGGAGGAGTTGATCTCGGGCCTTTGCCAGCTGGAATTGGAATGGGATCCATGATGATTAAAATAAAATGAAATACCTAAAGACTAAACCCACCTTGGTGGTCAGGGGATCGCAGTTCTGGTAGGTGGCATAGATCAGTAATCCATTGTATCCACAGAGAGCCATCAGGAGGAGCACGCCGGCGCAGAAGATGCAGAGCGCTTTCCGGGCATCACCAAGAGATGGAAGGGACAGGTACCTCTGGATCATGTTCTGGGAAACAGCATTGGTCTGCGTCCAGTAGACGATCCCTCCGAAGAACAGGCACCAAAAAGTGTGGCGCACAGTGGGATCAATACGAAGACTTAAAAACATAGAATTAATTTCCGTAATATATTCCATACTTGTATACTTACTCTGGTGCTTCCAGGCGATCGCTGTTCCAAGCTCTTTCCAGAACCACTCCCGCTCCGCCAATGTCGTGGGTGCCCTTTATTGCCACTAAGGAAAGCGCACCCACCATAGAAACAGCCTGCACCACGTCGGTCCAGACCACTGCCTTTAAACCACCCAGACTCGTGTAGAAGACACAGATGATGCACACGATCGGCGTGATCGTATGGACTCCAATTCCCGTCACCTGGTTGAAGGCCAAAGCCGGTACATAGATTACGATGGGCAGATAGGCCACCTAGGATGGGATTATTGGGATCGGTGAGGAGGTGAAATATTATAATACATAAAATAATTTTTAAAGAAGGTTTCCGCACCTTAACCTACATATATTAATCTCTTTTTAGAAACCCAAGTCCAATTTAAGCTTTAGGTATATGTACATAATTAAAAAAATAATCTATTTACTACTTATAGAGCAGGATCATTATAAACGAAAGGATCCAACGGCACTATAAAAAACCCAGATATCTAAAACAAATGAATTTGTTGAAAATAGCTGAAATACCGTATCCATGAACGTTCTAATCATAGAACAATGAACCAGATAAGTTAATCTATATACTACTAATATATCAAGACCTTAAAAAATATATTTTAAAAATAAATAGATATCTATAACAAATTAACTTGTTTAAAATAGCATAAATACTTTATCCATGAACTCTCTAAGCATAGAACAATGAAGCAGATAAGTGAATAAGTGGCTCCTAAGCACTCTTAATACTCACATTCATAATGGCAAACATGACTGATCCGTAAAGACGTAACCTGCGATCGAAGCGAATCTCCAGATACTATAAGGAATCCAAAGAATTTTCTGATAAATCCAAATAAATATATAAAGATAACCAAGCTCACCTCGTAGGTGGAGGTGATGTTCAGGTCGTGGAAAACGGGTAGGTAGAAAACGCCCATCACCACGCCCATGCCGATGACGCCGCAGGCCACGTAGAGATACTGGATTCCATAGGAGTAGACCTCGGTGGGAAGACCGAGCAGCGTGATCCCGGACACAAAGCTGGCCACTAAGGAGAAGGCGATGGGGATGACCAGCATCTTCCGTCCGCCCAGCATATAGTCATCCTCGGAAACGGACTTGTTCATAAACCCAAAGTAGATGCCAATCCCGATGCAGAGCAGGAACATCGAAACGAAGGCCACATAGTCCGGCCAGGCGAACTGCTGCAGCTCGCCCAGAATCTCCTCGATGCTCGCCATGGCGACTAACTAACTACGCTGGAGGTCGGCAGCTGGATGGGATGTGGATGTGTCCGACTCTCAGGTCTGTCGGTGGCTCACTGAGCCCATGTGCTGCTGCTGCCCAGATTTGGGTGCCTCTGCCTAGGCGGCTGTGATTCAATTCAATTCCGCTCAATTATCAATTGTGGGGTAATTTAGTTTTTCGGGGGGCACGGGGATGCGACTATCTTTAGTTAAGCCGGCGGGCGGGGGAATTACGACACCTCCGTCTCCAGTTCCGGGAACGTCCCATTGATCATCGCTCCTCTTCGCGAGCTCTGGCCCAATTCCTCCCACTGGGTTCGTCACAGATCCCCCTTGTATGCAATTATGTCACCCAGTACGCAAACTGATCTTTCGAAAATTCGCCAAGAGCCCGGCGCCGCGTCTTAATCTCGGCACCAATCACAACCAAATCCCGGAGGTTGCACTACGAGATCGGCATTTCCCGAAAAGTTACGCCTAATTGACACCGTCGGAATTTTCACTGATGCCGATTGTAGTTGCACAAGAACTGAGTGGGAGCCATGCGCCACCCGAGGCTTACTACGTATATAGTCATTCACAGAACCACCTGGCAGAGAGCCAGGAGAACTGCAGCGGTAGCGGAGCGGGATCAAGTGCAAGATCACCGGCGAAAAAGCAAGAGCAATCAACCGAGCACTTCAAGAAAAGGAATCAAACTTTTTTTAATTTTCCATAAACAGATTTTAAAATATTTTTTTATTTCATCGCCTTAAATAAAAGTTAAGAATCGAATTAAATTAAAAAAAAAAGTTTTTTTTAATAATATGCTTTTATAAATAAAAAATAAAAAAATTTTTTAATTTTGTGATTAACCATTGTTTTTGAAGTATTAAAATAAAAAGTAACCTACTGAAATATTAAGTAGCTATGATTTATAACAAAGTATGGAACGACTTAGAGAAATGGAAAAGAATTTAAAAGTTTTTGGAATTCGCTTTAAAAGTATTCTAAAAATGTTTAAACTTTAAACGTTTACAAATGCGACTTATAATAAAATGAATGTTTTTTTCAGTGAGGTTGTCCCTCAACTTGAAAGCATTAATCTCACAGAGAATTTCATTCATTTTAAATCACCGGTCTGCAGTTCGCTCTTCAGTATCCATGAGGCGGCTCTCAATGCAATAGCTGCGACCACCGAGTTGGGATTTCCCGAGATGGGACGGGGCAGGACTGGGAAAAAATAAATAATCATAAGTATTTATGGATTCGGAAAATATAGAGGAAATATTTTTTTTGTTCCTAAAATTTCGAAAGTTGTGATTAATAGGAGTACTTACCGCTGGCATCCACCACTCGCACATTGGATACACCCTGCAATCTCAACTGCGAGTCCACGACGCTGCCAAGAGCACAAGTGCCTCCTGGATGATGAGATCCCAGGCCAATGTGACGCATCAGGCACTCCAGATAGTGATCCGAGGGTTGGTGGTCGAAGAAGTCCCGTTCGAAGGGACCGAAATTGGAGCACTCCTGCAGACGAGGCCAGTGGATGCGGGGATGCAGTGAAGCAAAGGCAGCTGAAGTGACCAGCTGAAATTGAAGATACCATTAAGTCAAACTATTGGAAGTCTACACAAAGAAAAAAACGGAACAATATGGACTTGATATTGTTTCATTTCAATTTTTCCATAACAAAATGGTATGATTTCATATCGATATGGTACAAAATCATATGTTCGGAAATATCATTTTGATATGAATACATATGGGCCGAAATTGATATGAAAAAATACCCGATGGATGATTATTTTTGCTTTTTTTTTTCTCTGTGTATATATATGATTTACCTCCACTGCACTTCGAATAGCCTTAATTGTGCAGACCACATCCTCTTCGCTACTGAGGTAGTTAGGATCTATCAGGGGATTTCTTCTCATGTGCCGGTTAAGGAGACCCACGGATCCTCGTGATCTTGGCTGCAGGCAGCTGGAAATGACCACAAAGCCTTCCTGCGAGGCGTTATAATAGCGTGGAAAGAGGGCCCGGAAGGCTGGGCCCTTAAAATTCGATATTGACATCAGAGCAGATTCATCGATGGCACCGGCTCCAAAGAAGGTGATCCCAAAGGACGAGGCTCCTGATCCTCCATAGCTTGCCACATTTCCCAGCACTCCAAAGTTTCCCAGCGGTCCGGTTCCCGAACTAAGGTAGTTAATCAAGGTCATTGGATTCAATAAGGTGTTTTGGTTTAATGTAGGACCAGGAACTCCCATTGAAACGAAGAGGGGAACATTGAAGTGATCGTGCAGATTGTGACCCACCAAAGGTAAACTATGCTGAACGGGAATCCCCATTTTGTTCAATACTCCCATATCTCCGATTCCAGAGGCCAACAGGAGCTGAGGAGTTTGGTAAGCTCCAGCGCAGAGTATCAACTCTCTTCTCACCTCGATGCTGAATTCCTGCTCCCTGTTCTCCTCGTCCTTAATCCCCACGAGAATGGAGGTGGCTTGGGGAAATGGGCTGGAGGAAAGTTGAATCCGCTTCACCAAAGCATCGGGCAACAGACGGAGATTCGTGCGATGGAGCATCGGATTTAGGAACTGCTGTACCACTGAATGACGCAACCCATTCCTTATGTTATACACAGACCGTCGGAAGATCCAATCCTTGTGGGCAAACTGCGCCTGTGCCTCGTCAAGGGATTCGGTTAACTTGGAGTAACGGCGAGGAATTTCATACATATCCGGGGGCTTGGGCTTGGCAGCCGCCATAAAGGACCTCATCTGGTCCCATCCCCAATCGCTGAGATTGTGAATGTCCCGCCAAGAATCAAAGTCCGGTGCGTGACCATCAAAGTGCAGCATATAGTTGAGATTGGCCGAACCACCCAGTCCTTTGCCCCTCGGGAGGCACTGCCTCTGTTCGATGAGACCCTTGGAGGAGTGCTTCTGCGGCACGGACAAGAAGGACCAGTCGTTTATGCCCTTCTGCTGGAAAGTGGTCAGCAGGGGAATCCGACTGAGTAAACCAAATTGACCTCCGGCCTCCACGAGCAGGACACTTCCATTGCTGTGCTTGGCCAGCAGCGAGGTGAGGGTGCTGCCTCCAGTTCCAGCTCCAACTAAAAAAATAAAACAAAATGAATGACATTACTTTATCTAGATTCCTTTTATAACTAACTTCTAATATAGTACAAAATATTTTCCAAATCTCCACTCACCAATCACATAGTCGAAAGCAAATTGCCGCTCCTCCGGTGCCAAAACATTGGGTATGGAGTTCTTCAGCAGTGTCCCTACCAGGATGACGATGACTGACAGGAATCCTATGATAATCCCACCCAAAACCAGAATCTCTGCAACGACAATACCTCAAAAACTATTTATTTATTTTATTTCCTGAGCTTACTTTGGAATTTCAGGCCCATGCTGTTCTGTGCGATGACGAAATCCAACTAGTTAGAATGCGAGAACCACTGACTGCAGTGGACTTGGTCTAATCCAATTAAAGCCTTGAAGGGGTGGGATTGGGCGCTAAATTTGAATTCGAGTGCATCGCCTATCGGCCAGAGATGAGCTTTTGGCGAGCGATATTTATCTAGCGATGCGGCTAGACTTTTTTACAAGCTAAAAATTGTTAAACAAATTTTAAAAATATAAAAAGCGAACTTTTTAAAATCTTATAAAAATCTGCTGATGTGAAATCAAGCACCATTTTATTTGCATATTTATCTAAGGCTCTTGAATTTGACGAAAACATTTACTGGAGGTATTATTAAATCCAATAATATTTAATTAAATTTATTTAAATTAGAAAAAGTCTGATTTATAGGTTGCTTTTACCCCTTTACCTTAACTCATATCCCGACTACAGCTTCTTTTTTAGCTATTTCCCGCCAAATCTTCGATTTCCATTTCGCTATCGGCTTACACGCATCACTGGCAGCCGTAAGCCACCTAAATTCTTTGTTATTGCATTCGGCTGCTCCGGAGATCGGTTGATCGGCGGAGAGGGATTATTTGATCGACTCCAGGCTCGCCGCGATAATATGCGGGCCTCTCTTATCACTCGCCAGTGGAAGTGCGAAGCCAGAACAGCTGCTAGACGGTCGGCAGCGAAAACAAAAGACGAGCTGTAACAATAGCCCAGATCCAGATAATCAGCCGTGGAAGATCACTCGGTGGAGAGCCCCCCATTTAGAAGTCAGAAGACCGAACAATGAACTACTGGCCCGTGTAGAAAACAGAAAAAACAGCAGATTGGACTACGTAGGAGCAACAGGTGTCCTCCACTATGGGCGACCAGCAGGAACAGCTTTTGGCCTTGCTGACCAAGGATCAGCGACAGGTCTTTGAGGTTGGTTGGGGGCATCAGCAACCTCAACCTTGGTCTAATATTCTTTACCCTTTTAGACCTTCATCCAGTGGCTCCATGGCAAATCCACGGGACCCATTCAATCCCACCAAAACGCCCTGCAATCCGTGCTCCAGGCGTCGCCCTATCCCGCCCTGCAACTGCTGCAGCTGCTCCACGAGCGCTCCAAGCTGCACATTGGCCAGATAATCGCCACCTTGCTTCGTCAGCTGCTAGACGGCGATGTCTCATCGCCGCGCTCGCTTTGTGTGCTCGCCAATTTTCCGGCTAGCATTCTGGAGGCGGCCACACTTCGGCAGAAGCTAATGACTCGCCTGGTGGGTGAATCAGTGGCCAGCGAGCATCTAATGCTGGCCCTGTTGGCACGCAGCGAAGGACAACTGCTGGAGGATCTGCTGCAGGAGCAGCAGCTGGCCCTGCGGACGCAGTGCAGCGAGGCGGCGCCCACAAGACTTTTGGTCCTGTGGCTGGCGCTCAGCCAAAGGGAGCACTTCGTGGCCAGTGTTTGCCAGCAGCTGAAGGACTTTCAGTGCTTCCAGGACCCCACGCTGAGGAATACCTTGCTGATCCTGCGACTGGCGAACGAGTTTGCCCTGGGCGCACAGACTTTGGACGAGCTGGGCTGCCTGGACAAATTCCTGGGGGAATTTGATGTTAGCGCTGTGCCCGAGGAGTTGCAGGAGGTTCATCGGTTCTTCTACGCGGACTTTCAACGCCTGTCCACGCTGCTCAACTTTCTGCGTCCGCGGGAGGTGAGCAAAACCCTCAAGGTGGATGCACTGCTGCGGGCGCCGGGCGTCCTCTCCGTGATCCACGAAAATGGAATTCGATGCGAGCACCAAGAGCTGCTCCGCCTGCTCGAGGACGTCTACAAGTGGCAGCAGCAGACTCCGGCGCTGAAGTGTCACCACCAGCAGGAGGTGGAGATCCTGAGCTATTACACTGCCCTCTGCCATGTGTACAATGTGATCCTGGACCAGGGCGAACAGACGACGAAGGCGAAGCTAGTGCAGCTTTCCGGGCAATTGAGGCAACTGCATCAGTTGGGCACCCTGTGCTCTTTGCTGGAGGACATCTTCCTGTTGGTCTTCCTGCGCTGGGAGCAGCTGGAGCAGAGTCCGCTGAAGAGAAGGGAAGACGAGGAGGATGACGAGGAAGATGATGATGAGCAGTACGTCGATGATGACGTCGCCTCGCCCCCGCGTCCATCTGCTGCCCACAGCCAGCGCACCCGCTATGGATTCATCTGCCGCTCGCCCTCGCTGCAGGCACTCTTTACTTTCTTGAAGGCCTTTGTCACCAAGAAGCTGCATTCCCAGGACTTCAAGTGCGCCACGGAGCACCAGCAGAGATTCCAGCGCTTGGTGGACGCCATTAGCGAGGCCCTGTGGAAGCTGGGAGTTTTGCAGAAGATCGAGCAGTCGCTGATTAAGTCGGCGCCATCGATCAGCTGCCTGCTGGAGCCGGAACAGCTGCTCCAGTTGGTCCAACTGCACAGCGCGGCCAAGGAGAAGGCCTCCAGCGACGACGAAAGTCGGGAGCGCAGCAACCACGCCTCCAGCCTCAACCGGCGGAAGTCCCGGAGGCAGCGACGGGCAGCCAGCTTCAGTGGAGCAGTGGCCGCCAAAACAACCACGGATGGAGGACTCACCATGGAGCAGTTCCGGGCTCGGGCGCAGCTGCTCAGCAGGAAGAACTCCTGCGTCACTTCTCCATGTGAACGGTCCATCATCCCCAAAATGCTCAGCACGCCAGAGCAACTGGCCATCATGGCGCTGGCCCTCAAGAATTTCAACGATGTCAAGCAGATCATTGAGGTGAGTGGCTAGAAATGTTCCGATAACAGTTTCCTTTGTTGGACTAGAGATTCCGTCTTACATATTTTATAGAATATATATAATATTGACTCATACACTCATAAAGAAATATCGAAGACATTCATTAAAAACTAATAAATTCTTTCTTGAATTTTCTTCATCTAGAAGGGTTTTCTATATTCAAAGGCAAATTTTCTAATTACAAGAAATTTTTTTTCTATTTTCAAAGGTAGGATTCAATGGCGAGATTTCTAAAGTTTAGAAATTAATTTTTATGAGTGTAATTTGCAATATGTAATAACAATTGAATAATAGGTGGCTACAGCTGTGTGCAAAATGATAACAGTGCCCTGCAAATCTTTAGATTATTTGTTTTACAGAGACTTAAACAATATTAAACAATTTGATTATTTAATATTTTAATATAGTAAAAGTACACTATACTCATTTCCTCTTTAACTCTTTACAGACCTTTCATCTGGAGCAGAGCCAACTGAACCGGGAGCTGCACTTCATGGAGCAGCAGCAGCTGGTGAAGCAGAAACTGGCCACCATCTATGCCAACTATCAGGCCTTGGAGGCCCAGCAGGCCAACTCGGGGGAGACCACGGTGGAGCAGATCAAGGGTGTGGCGGCCAAGGGCTTCGAGCTGTCCAAGATCATCAGCGTGGTGGACAACTTTGCGCAGGCGCAGCGTCTGCAGCAAAGCCCAGAGCTAAAGGCCCTAATCCTGCGACACAGTTCCAACGGACAGCAGGGATTCCTGCAGCAGTTCGAGGAGCGCAATCTGAATGCCCTGATCATAAGTGACCTCATTGTTAACCTCGGATTCAACCGGGAGATTACCAGCAACCTGTTACTGGTCATTCGACGCCAGCAGCAGCAGAAGATGCCCAGCGATGATGCGTCTTCCTCGGCGGGTTCCTCTGAAATTGGAGCCATGAATCTCCTGCAGAATCTCTGCGAGTGCATGCGCCTGCTGGAGCGATCTGGTCAGCAGCCGGCACTGAATGAATTGCTGTCTCTCAAGAGCTATCCCCTCAGGCCATCAGTCCTGGCTTTGCAGCTCCAACGGGAGGCTGCCTTTCAGACGCTCTACCAAAAGGAACCCGCCGACTACTCGCATGGACAGGACCTACGCTCCAACACCGGTCAGTTTCAGCAACTCCGTTCGCGTCACAACTACTATGCCCGCTTCTGCACGTATGTCCAACAACTGGCACGCCTGCTGCAGCTCAGAGATCCCAATTTGGAGTATCACACCACTCAGCTGCTTCGCAACGATCCCTACGAAGTCATTGGCGAACTGATCTACGAGTGCGGCATAACGCCCCTGGAAATCGAGGCGAGTGTGGCGGCTCTCCACCTCAATCTCGTTCATGTGATTGCGCTAAACATCTGCCCCCAACTGGGCGAGGAACCCACGAAAAGATTGCCACGCATTGTGGCTCCCCAGAAGCAGGAATCAATACACAACTACATTTCGCAGCACAACCAGCTGCTGGCTCAAATATTGCTGGCCATTCAGCTGGGGAACCTTCCGGATGGCGAGACTGGATTGAACTTCTCTTGCCTGGCACAGCTGGTTCATCTGCCCGAGGTGGAGATCCTGGCCTCCATGCACGACGGCAATCGGGTGCTGGCCGCCTTGAATATGTACAAGTTGGAAGGTGCCATCCTGGACCAACTGGTGCCGGATCAAGAGCAACTACTGCAGATTCTTCTGCTTGGCGTTGGTGGACAATCAGGTTGGTAGATTTTAAACTATGTATATAGATTTTATGTCTCACAAAACTCTCATTTCCCTTAGATTCTCCCAAGCGTTTAGAGTGCCGGATTGACAGGCTGATCGGGGATCTCGTGGAGAAAGATCCTCGAAACATACAGCTCGTGGTGCACATGAGCGACCTCGGACTGCGTGCCCGCCTGCTCAAAGAGCACTTCACCCGCATCCCCAGCAGTCAGCAGGCCAAGGAGCTGATAGAACGAACTCTGCAGCACCGGCGGGCGGCCAAGGCGATTCCACCTTACCTGCGCTCCGAACTGGAGCACACGCTGTCGGACATAACGATATACGCCAGGGTGTCGGCTCTGCTGCAGTTCGAGAGCTGGCCGCAGGCCTACGACTTTGGACGCCAGACGCCGAACGTGATCTTCGAGCAGCTGCTGCAGCGACGGCGATTTGGCCTGTGCCTCGAGTGGAGCCGCGTGGTTTTCCTGGCCGGATCGGCGGGTCAGCAGCGGGTGTGCCTGCTCACCCTATTGGATGCTCTCCTGGAATTGCGGGATGGCGAGGAGCTGGATGAGTCGCTCTTGGGCATTGTGGAGATGTTTCCTCCCTCCTCGTTGGTTAACTTCCTGGACACACACAAAGATAAGTTTAGATCGCTGCCTCTACTGCAGTGGGTGATCGATTACCTGGAGGGTCATGCCCGCGATCCTCGTCTGTACCGAAACTATCAGCTCTCTTTGGAGCTCCTGCGTCAAATGGATTCCAATGAGCGATCGCAGTTTTGGAAGCTACTCCGGCATCCCCTCCTCATCGTAGAGCAATTGGTGATGAATGCCCGGTTTGAAATGCTAGGAAAGCTACTAGATGCGGCTCGCTACAGGCTGCAAAAGGAGAAGCCACTGGGTCCTTGTCCCTACTGCTTCGAGAAAACGGGCCATGTGTATGATGTTCAGTCTTCTTCGGCTTCGGGAAGTGGAGGAACACCAGCCAAGCTGAGGTTTCAACTGGGACACACCACATCGGAGGCGTTTATTCTGCTGAACTTCAACTCGTACCAGCAGGATCACTACGTCGGCCAGGAGTGCTTGGACCTGCTGCTGCGAATCTATGCCAGCAAAGCTTTGGATTACCATGTGGCAAATGTAAGGGCTGCCTCCGAGCCGGGCTCCCTGGGCACCGATGTTCAGAACTCACTGGACTCCCTTTGCGGCGCCTTCGTGATGCCAAAACAGGCGCCCAACCGACAGCAGTGGACGCGGGACGAGGAGGCCACGCACTGCATGTGCTGTCGGCGGGCTGCTTTCACCATGTTGATGCGTCGCCATCATTGCCGTCGTTGTGGACGAGTGGTGTGCTATGCATGCTCCACCCATCGGCTAAGAATTCCGGAGCTGTACGACGAGCTGGAGGTGCGCATCTGCAACGATTGTGCCAGCAGCACGGCTGCCAGGGATCAAAGAGATGGCGCCTCCAGTGAGCGGAGTGTAAGCTCGGGATCAAGGTCTTCCGGAAGCAGTGACTCCTGTAAATGGAGGCTGAGTGGTATCATTACCCACGACAAGCTGCTGCGCGAGGAGTTCTCCTATGAGCACGCCCCCAGTGTGGCCCTCAGTTTGTCCATCCTTCGCAATCACGTGGAGCAGCGGAGCTGCGTGGATCTCCTGCTCTTCCACTGCCGCAAACTGGAGAAGCTGATTGTGCCCAATCCAGAGGTGGACTACGGTCTGGTGGCCAAGATGATCAATTGCCTGGCCTTTGCCGCAAAGGTTAGTTAGCTGTTTAAACCTAATAACTATATATGTAATATTTCCGATTGTTTTATAGGTTCGTGGCGCCCCAGGAGAGCTGGAGAACATTCGCGAGCACTCCGAGATCATCATGGCGGTGGTGCAGCAGGGCTGCGAGTCGCTGATCCCAACCGGATCACTCAACAACCACAATCTTCGCCTGCTGGCGGACGCATTGGTGGAGGCGGAGCATTGGGCCTTGGCCCTGGAGGTGCATCTGAAGTGCGGTTTCGCCACCACAGGCGTAATGGCGGCACATGGACTAGCATGCCTTCGAGCTGGCTGCTACGATGCAGGTTAGCTGGTGTCCTTATCCTTTTAAAACTTATTCATTATCAACTTGAACTGATTTCAGCCCGTGAAAAATTCGGTCACTGCATGACGCGGCTTTCCAGCGAGCAGCTCAATAGCAGCATCTGCAAGAACATGTTTGGAGTGGCTTCCACAGAGGCGGTGCTGCTGCCCAGGAAGCGGCCTCAACGTGGTCCGCCTCTGCTCCAAGAAATCCTGAAGCTAATAGCCGCAATGCCTCAGTCGCAGCCTCAGCCGGAGACCCTTCACCGGGCCTCGCTCATCCGCAACTCGAATACTTCGCTGGCCTCCCTGTTCACGCGACGTCGGGAGCCCTACGTCCAACAGCGTCCGCTCCAGGAACCCGCTCTCAATGTTATGAACGCACTGGCGGGACTCAAGAGCATAACAAAGGGTCAATATGGCGGCCAAATTCAAGCCACCGAGGAGAGTCGTCGACAGGAGCGCGGCTTCGAGGAATCCCTGCACTATGTGCTTACCTACGGCAGCCACAGTGACATCCTCAACTTCCTGATGTCGCGCGAGGAGCTGCGAGCAGCACTGCGCTACTGGCAGCACCAGCAGTTGGACGCGGATCTCTTCATCCAGTACATCTTCCAGCCGCAACTGGCCAACGGCGGTCTCACCGCTCTGATGGACGAACTGCATCAGCTGGACGACGCCCAACTGAGTGCCTGGCGCCTGCCGCTGCTGCAGACCTGCCGCCACCTGGAGCAGAACCAGCAACTCAGCTCGCTGTACCAATTGCAGCTCCTCCTGAAGGATCCCATTCGGGCCAGCATGACGTGCGTGAAGTTCTACCCCCTGCAGTGCGAGAACTTCCAAAAGCTGCATGCCAACTCGCAGCACTTGCTCTCCGCACACATGCACCTCCAGGGGGAGCTGGATCTGGCCGAGTGGGAGCACCTGCAGCGGCAGCAGGGCCGCAGGAGCAGCGTGGCCAGTGGAGCCAGCGTTCGCGGTGCCTGCTTCGCCATGCAAATGGATGCCAGGGCTCTCAACGGGCACATCAACACCATTCGGCGGCAGCTGGAGGTGGCCAAGTTTTTGGCCAAGTGCGAGCGGGAACAGGCGCCGGATGAGCCGCTTAGAACTATGCAAACTCTGAAACAGGTAAGGAGATATTTAAATGTTCTAACTATATACTAAATTTCGTCAGTTTTCTTGAAGATCCGACTTGAGTCTAGTCGAGGTACCCTGCCCACCTTGTTCGAAGGCGCCGCAGATCGCATCCAGCTGTGCATCCTGATCCTGATGTGCGGCAAAAACATAGACGAAGGTTTCGGTCTGGCCTATGGGTAAAAAAAATTACTATATTTATCAACTAATATTTATATTATTTATTTATTTATTTATTTATTTATTTATTTATTTATTTATTTATTTATTTATTTATTTATTTATTTATTTATTTATTTATTTATTTATTTATTTATTTATTTATTTATTTATTTATTTATTTATTTATTTATTTATATATTTATTTATTTATTTATTTATTTATTTATATAAAACAAACTTAATGTTAAAACTATAAGCTAACTAAGATTGAGAGCTCTAGCAGCTAAGGCCTTCAGCTCGTCTAAGGTGTCGAATTAGATACATTTTTATTTTTATAATTGTGAATTTAGATTTTGAGCTTAATTTGGGCTTTTTGAAGGTGTCGAATTAGATACATTTTTATTTATTATTTGAATTTAGATTTTGAATTTAATTTGGGCTTTTTCAAGAAATGAGATGATTCTAATGACGTTGTCGGGAGTTAAGTTTGAGATAATGTTGATGCGGTTGAGTGAATGAAAGGATTCTGATCTGGGTTATATTTATATTTATATCTATCTAACATATTATGTATATGTTTTCAGAATTATGCAGGACTACAAGCTGGCTGCCATCAAGGTGTTTGGTGCCACTGCCAAATACCTAGCCAGGAATCAGCGCCTGGCCGAGGTGGAGCGCCTGCTGGACTGCATGGGAAGCAACAGCGGCGGTGGCATTTCCGCGGAATCTGACGAGATCCTGTCGATTGCCATCAACTCCGCCGTGCACAGCAGTGCTCCCGAGACCAAGCAGATGCTGGACCGCCTGATCAAGCGCATCGGCAGCGTGGAGCTGAGGATCTCCTCGTACATCTACATCGGGCAGCTAAAGTCCGCCTATCTGCTGGCCAACAAGCACGAGCGACTGGTGGACATCCGACGAATCCTGCGCCAGGCGGAGCTCACCGGCCAGGTTCACATTAAGAAGCTGTGCGAGATGAAGCTCCAGCTCAGCGCCCCGCCAACGCCTCTGTGATATCGTAACTCCTCGAGCAATAACAATTTATTAACCATTTATTTGTGGGATTTCACCAGCTGTGATAAATGCTAAAATTATGATTTTAAGCTTGGTACACTTTACATATCTAAATCTCAATTAAATTGGTCATCTGGTATCTATTTTACCATCTTAAAAATCATCATTTCAGCATTTACAGAGTGAACCCCCTAACTTTTTGTATCTGGGAATTAGAATAGGAAAATTGTTTTTAGAATTTAACATTTACGTAGATCAATTTTAACCTTTCCAAAGGGCCAGCAAGTATTCCACCCTCGAGCTCAAAAAGACTCTTCCAAAGTAACCAAATTATATTATATTATTGATTGTATTGTATTATCTCAATGTTATTTTTATATTAATTATACTGTTATATGTTTATTCCCAAAAAATGGCGCGTATGTTTGAATTTTTTCTGGTATTACTAACACTGGTGGTGAAGAACTAAGCAGCACTGCTTGAGAATAATGGATTAGATCTGGATGGTTAATTGTATATAGAAATATCAAGCAATGCGGGCGGTTATACAGAGGGTGAAGGCCGCAAAAGTGACGGGTATTCTAGGATTTAAAAGTTGTCATTCTTGATTAAGCTTTAGAATGTTTCCCATAGTGCTGGATGAGCTGGTGTCCTCCATTGGACCTGGTCTATGCGTTCTGGTGGGGATCAAGGCGAGCGACACGACCAAAGACGTTGAGTATCTGTAGGTAATTTCTAGGAATAACTAGGCATTAACCATTGATAACTGAGTATCTCCATTACCATTTTAGAGTCCGGAAAATCTTGGCCCTCCGTTTATTCGAGGAGGAGGGCAAGCGGTGGCAAAAGTGCGTAAAGGATCTGAATTTGGAGCTGCTGTGCGTCTCCCAGTTTACATTGTATCACCGCCTCAAGGGCAACAAGCCGGATTTCTCGGCCGCCATGAAGGGCGAAGAGGCTCAGCAGCTGTACAATCACTTCCTGGAGCGTCTAAATGAATCCTACGATAGCAGCAAGATTAAAGGTGGGTCCTTAGAGTCCTCTAAAGGGTCGTGAATAAAACGAATCTCGCCCCCAACAGATGGAAAATTCGGAGCCTACATGCAGGTGCACATAGAAAACGATGGTCCCGTGACCATCAATCTGGAGAGTCCCGACCAGAAGCAGGGAAACGAGGAGGTGGACAAGTGATGACCAAATAAACTACAGATAACAGATTTATGTACCACGGGGTTTTTATTTTTAGTGTTTTTCTTTTTTACTACCAGCAACTTAAATCTACGAAAATCAGCGTACTCGTCCTTAGGCCTCTAACATCTCCAGATCCTCGATTCCCATTCCCTCCTCGAGCTTCTTCTCGAGCTCGCGCGCATCCACATAGGTGATCTTCTCCTCGGGCAGGTCCTCGTCCATGAGGGCGGCCTTCTCCGCCGCCTCCTTGGCGCGTCGCTCCCGGAGGCCAGCGGCGGGGGAGCGAATGAGGGACATGTTGCGCTGCACATCCTTGACGTCCATCTGGATCTCGATGTCGCGACCCTTGCGCAGGCGCTCCATCACGAAGTGGCTGGTGCGCTTCTCCTTGATCTCCGTCACCCGCTTGATGGCCTCCAGAGCCTTCTGCCAGGTCTCCCGGCTGTACTTGATGGGCACGTTGCGGCGCTTCTCGAACTCGAAGCTGGGATCGATGGCCAGCTCCTTGCCGGCGGCCTTGCGGTGCGCCTTCGTCCAGCCGACCTTGCGGGGGTTCTTCTTCCGCTTGAAGGCCTTGTGGCACTTGCCCCGACAGAATTTGAAGATCTGCAAGGGGAAAAAATATAAACATCGGAGCACTCTGAAACAGGACAGCCAGCCGATCCTACCTTGCAGTCATTTCGCACGAAGTTCACCCCGTGGCCTGGGTATATCTTGCTGGAGCAAAAATAACACGTTTCAATGCGCATTTTCGCAAATTACGACGGATAATTTGCGAAGAAAAACAAAGCGCAGGCAGCAAGCACGTGTGCCGCTGAAGAAGAAGAGCGATAGCAGTGTGACCAGCGAGTGGCCATTTATCGATAACATAAAGGAGCTAGAAAATAGCTGGAAGTAGTGTTGGGAAGAATGTTTTTAATTTAATAGCTACAGGTGGTTTTTATCAGACCCACCAAGGATTCATTTAAAACTAAATTTTAAACATTAAAATATATGTTCTTCATTTTTATTTAAATGATTTTCTTCATTCTCTAATCCTACCCGCCACATTCCTGTTAATCAGCAGTTAATGATTTTGAAATGTTAAATATTTTTAGAAATAACTGGATGAGTTTGGAAAAAATTAGCATTTATACCCGTTATTTGAAGAACTGAAGGGAGTTCTCTATTGTTTTGGAATTTACTTAGCCATTATTTCCTAATAGCTATTTTTATCTTAATAAATTTTTTATTTCCTTATAAAATGTTTGAGGTGTTTTCAAAAAAGCGCGAAATAAGACAACCCATTACTTTTTAAGTTCATTTTTATGTGCCTCTAAGATTCTTGAGTACTATATAATTTAACAACATGTTGAAGAGTTTAACATTGTAGAACCTTACTTCTGCTAGAATTATTCAACTTTAAATAATTTGACCATAAACCTAAGATCGTGGCAGTCTCTGAAAAGATACAAAAGTTAAACATGAGTAAATATTTATTCTATTAAATACAAAAAGTAACAATTTAAATTTTTTTGGATTAGAATCAATCGATCAACTGCTTCAATTCCCTGATCCGATTCAAGATCCGCGGGTTTATGAACTCGGCTGCGTTGCAGCTCGTCTCTCGATCCAATATCTCCGGTTCACCATTGCCAACTTCGCTGCAGGTACCCCACTCCCTGGTGGCATTATCGAACTGAATGCGAAATGGGCCGAATCTTGGGCTCACATTAATGAACGCGGATAAGACTCGCGTCCGGAGATCCACTGTGGCATCTTTATGCGCTGGCCAGGTGCTTTTGTAGCAAAACTCTCCCAAATCACGGAGCACATACTCCAAGTCCGATCGCAATGCGCTTGTGAGGTGGGGGAATAGACAGCTCAGCAATGGACCGCGCACATTGCACAACCTATCGTCGATCCGCACCAATGCATCCTGATAGCTGGAACCCTGCAGGTGTCCTTCGATGCGGAACTTTGTGATTTGCTGAACAGTCAGCGAGTTGAAGAAGCTGAAACGGTCCAAGTCGCGAAATACAACGCTCCTTTGAAGAGGGGAAGCGCCAAGGGGCTCCGCAGCACGAACCTTATCAGTAGCTTCTTCAATTACCTGGCGAGTGTTGACGTTCGTTGAATCCAGCAAGTGCTGCAGCTGGGAGCATTCCAGGAGTGTGTTGCCAGTGGCGAAATCCTGCGAGGGAGTGATGTTGACCTCTGTAGGCTGAGCCGTAGAATTACTTGGAGGACTGGGAGGTTTTGCTGGCTGACACTCAGGAGCTCTATTCCCTCCAGACTCGATTCGCACCATCACTCCCATTGGTAATGGCGGGAACTCATGTCGCAGCTGCGGCACCCTTTCGTTATTCAGTCTAATTTTCTTGCTGGTCGATTCTCGGGTGGCTGCTTGCCGCTTTCTAGGAACCTGAGGCGCTGACGTAGACGCAACTGTCCTGGGCGCCACTTCCACAGGCACTGGGACTTCCAATATTTCCGGGATATCGTAAGCGTCTATCGGAATATTACTATTCTCCAGCAAATTTAGTGTCTCTTCTGCTGCCTTTTCAGTCGGTTTTGAGATAGCAAAGCAGGACAAACTCGCTTCTTCACTTTGGCTGGCATCCAAGTCTATTATTTGCTCCTGGGTCGTAATTTCTTCCCATTGGCAATCCTCCGAGTTACAAATGGTGGCACGTTGGTTGTTAGGAAGCTTGATAGGTTCCTGCTTGACGGTCACCAATACGGTCGTCGTTGGCGGATACTCAATAGGAGCTTCTTCCATTTGTGATGTTTCCTCGGGTATTAGTGGGTCGAATGTCATTTGTGGCACTTGGGAAGCTGGTTCCACACACGACACGTCTACGAAACTTGAATCGATGAGCTGAGTAGGCGGACAACTGGTTTCCTCTGGGGAGTAAGTGATGATTAATTTAAAAATTATTTTATATAGTCGAAAACTTACCACATATTGTATTTGGACTTGAGGCAATTGAGACTACCTCGGTTGGGGTATTTACATCTCTGCTTTTTACAACACAAATTGGCCCTAGAAAAAAAAACCATTACATATTTAACAAAAGAGATGATACTCCTTAAAGACAAAACTCACTTAAAGAAATCCCATCAATGACTGACTCCGCTTCTTCGATTTCTTCATTGAGTACCTCATCTGAGATCTCAGGTACTTGGAGTATCCACTGATTATGTGTCCAGCAGGCGGCATACAGCTTCTCCCTTTCCTGGCACAACTGCACTACATCATCAATTTTCTTGCCTGTGTGATGGGTGTAATGTTGTTCAACGATTTTATCGAAATCCGAGTAGGAACCCAATTCCCAAGGGCTCAGTATTTTCGGCGATAATTGGGACAGTTCAATCTTATCCAACCGCACTCCTTTACAGAGGAGGAGTTGCTTTAAAAATCCCAAACGTACGTGTAAATTAATTGGCCAATTGCCAAGAACCACGACGTGCTGAAAGCAAAGCTGCAAATGTTCATCGCACTTGTACAAGGCCTCCCCGTCGTGGATACTCGTGTAGTGGCAGAATTCCTGAAGAGTTAGCTGATAGAGTATGCGCCAAATGGTTCTCATGAGTCCTTGGCTTGTGCTGATCAAGTACTTCATATTGTGATCCTATTTCGGGTGGGATAAGAGTGAGTTTTCTCGCCTTTTTATTGTTTCATGTTTTTCTTACCTGGTTATTTTCGGCGAAAAATATATTCTTCGCTTGCTCGAGAAGGATTTGACTTTCTGTGCTCTGAGGTGAATTGGATGCCGCTTCGAGATCTCCATCTGTTCTTGTTAATTCGTCCTTATCTGTAGATATATTTTCTGATGACCCTTTTGAGCTTTCTGGAATGTTGGACAATTCAGCTTGGGTTTCTTCTTTATTCGTCTGCCCTTCACTCGCAATAGTTTCAGCGCTATCCGAAATGGTTTTTCCGACTTCTGGTAGGTTTGAACTTTTCTGCAACTCATTCTCGTTAAAGGCAGCTCTTTCTGGATCTTTGCTGACTTCATCGATCTCCATGGGATTCGAAGTTATCACGGGCTCATTTCCTTTTGTCAAAATGGCCGCAGGATCAACATTTGTGCTATTGGTATCTGATTGTAAACTTCCCTCTTGAGCCAAGCAGTAGATCTTAAATTGCTTTTTCAGAGTTTCTTGCATTTCCGGGGAATTGTTGGCAAAAAGACGACGGACCTCGAATTTGACCACATCGATTGCTCGCTTGCTATACCAAAAAGAATACAGAAAATAAGACTGTCGAAGACAATATAACATAATTTACTAACCGTGCTCTTTCTAAAATCCTGGCTGTATTACATTCCTCCGAAATGTGATATGGGCCTTGGACTTCGACCTCGGGCTCAGTGACAACTTCAGAGGTGGCTGATGGGCATTTTGGCCTGGCCTCAGGCTCTAACTGCCGTTGGTTTGGTGCAGCTATCGGCTTTTCGGGTGTTATCCTGCTGAAATTACTAAAATTGCATTTAGAGATATGGAAAATAAATACGTTGTTTACCTCTCCTCAGCCAGGCATGTGGATATCTTTTTCACATCCTTGGAAATAGCAAATTCCGCTTGGCAATTGGACTCCGGATTTTCCATGCAGGGTTTCTCTGAGACATGGAGAGACATCGTTTTTATAGCGGTTTCATCCAACGGTTTTGCAACTTCCAGTAACTTCATCAATATCTTGGGATCCGTGCAGTCAAATTTATACGGAATTGTTTTGCGAAATTTTTCGTGTTGTATGTAGAAATTTTTGTAGGACCGGAGGAAAACTTTTTTGCATATAGGATTCGACGGATCAGCCATTAACTCTGTTAGTTTAGCTTCATTTTTAGTGATATTTATCATAAGATTAGTGCGGATAAACTCATTGTTTATATAGCGCCGAAATGTGTCACAAGAAACAGGAAACATAAAGCGTCCCAGGCTAAGAATAATGTAAAAAGTTATTAGAACATACAGAAAAATAAAAGTTATACTTTCTTACCTTCCAACGATTACTTCAACATCAGTTTTAAAGGGAAAACTTCTGAAATGGTTGGTTATTAATATGGTTTTCTTTAAATATAGTTTTGAATGATAATTACTCTGCAATTTGGTTCAGTTTCTCAGTTTCTGCAGAGGACGTCTCGGGAGACTTGAACGCGATTTCTATTCCTGCCGGAGAAGTAGCTAAATGAGGAGGCTCGTCATTAACCTCCTTGCTGATGGTCCTTTAAAAGTAAATATTAATTTAATTTTCTTGATATTCGAGTAACTTATCTAATTATCTTACAGGTGAAGTAGAACTTATTATATGAAAATGGAAAAAGGCACGTTAATTTACTTACATTACTGGATTACATTCGTTCGAAGTGTGTGACGGTTCAGCAACTCTTTGTTCTAAATGGGATTCTATTGGCTCAACTGGGTCTTGTTCTTTAGCCTCAGGCTCCTTTTGACTTTCGTCACAGGATTTCTCTGTGATACAAACGACCTGGCAATCTGGTTCCTTTGGACATACCTCTCTGTTATTCGGTGGAAAGCTCATCAATTTTTGTAGCATACTGCTGGGACATGACTTGAATCGGACAACGAATCTGTCCCGCATATTTTGTCCAGAATAGAAACCCTGATAATAGTGCTGGATTACATCCTCCCTGGATTTTCCCCTGAATTCATCACACAACAGCATTTTATAACATATAACATCGAGATTGCTAACATGACGTTTGAATACTTCCAAAGATACTGGGTTTGAAAAACTTTCCTGTCCCGGCTTTTCAGGAGAATCCACCACCTGGAGTTTGGGTGCATTTGTGTTTTCTTTTTCATCTTTTACGGTATAGAGAGACATCGTTTTTATGGCAGCTTCATCCAACGGTTTTGCGATTTCTAGTAACTTGTTGAGAATTTTTGGATCCGTACAGTCAAATTTATACGGAATTGTTTTGCGATATTTTTCGTTTTGTATGTAGAAATTTTTGTACGACCGTAGGAAGACTTTCTTGCACTGTGGATTCGAAGGATCAGCCATCAATTCTGCTAGTTTAGCTTCATTTTTAGTGATATTTCTCATGAGATTAGTGCGGATAAACTCGTCGTTTATATAGTGCCGAAATGTGTCACAAGAAACAGGAAACAGAAAGCGTCCCAGGCTAAGAATAATGTGGGAAAGTTATTAGAACATACAGCAAAATGGCAAATCAAACTTTATTACCTTCCAACGTTCACTTCAACATTAGTTTTAAAGGGAAAGCTTCTGAAATATTTGTTTATCATAATTATTTATTTTTTAAATCATATTATTTAAGGATAATTACTCAGATATTTTATTGGCACTCGCCGTTTCTGCAGAGGACGTTTCGGGAGTCTTGAAAGCGGCCAGTTCGAGTCTTGGCGGAGAAGTAGCTAACTGAGGAAGTTTGCTCGTAACCTCCGTGCTGATGGTCCTTGCAAAGTAAATATTGTTTTAGTTTTCTTATTATTCGAATAACTATTTTCAATATATTTCCAGGTGTCGTAGATTAGGATATGAAAAGGTAAAAAAAGGATGAAGATAACATAATATACTTACATTATTGCATTACTTTCGTTCGAAATATGTGACGGCTCCGCCGCTCTTTCTTCATAATGGGATTCTCTTAGCTCAACTGGGTCTTTGTCCTTAACCTCTGGCTCAGTGACAACTTGAGAGGGCTGAACGGCAAACCCCGCTTGACCGTTTGACTCCTTTTGACTTTCCTCACAAGGTTTTTCAGTGATACCAACCACCTGGCAATCTGGCTCCTTTGGACATACCCCTCCGTTATTCTGTGGAAAGCTCAGCAATTTTTTAAGCATCTTGCTGGGACATGGCTTGAATCGACAAACGAACTTGTCCCTCATTTCTTGTCCAGAATAGAAACCTTGGTAATAGAGTTGGGCAACTTCCTTCTTGGATTTGCCTCTGAACTCCTCACACAACTGCATTTCATTACATATATCATCGAGATTGCTCACATGACGTTTGAAAACTTCAAAAGATATTGGGCACGGAGGAAACTCCTCTTCTGGTTTGTCCATATTACATGCTTTTGGATTTTCCTTTGATTTTGGTTTTTTCTTTGTCTTTTCTTTTTTATCTTTTGGGGCATAGAGAGACATCGTTTTTATGGCTGCTTCATCCAACGGTTTTGCGATTTCTAGTAACTTGTTAAGGATCTTGGAATCCGCGCATTCGAATTTATATGGAATTGTTTTGCGATATTTTTCGTTTAGTATGTAGAATTTATTGTAGGACTGGCGGCAGACTTTTTTGCATTGTGGATTCGAGGGATCAGCAATCAGTTTTTCTAGTTCAGCTTCATTTTGAGTTATATGTCTCATAAGATTAATCCGGATTATCTCTTTATAGTTGATATAGCGCCAAAATGTCTCAAAAGAAACCGGAAACAGAAAGCGTCCGCTTCTAAGAATATTATGGCAAAAATTAAAGGCAAATCAAAAATGACAATTTATCTTTTCTTACTTCTTAACGTTCACTTCAACATCAGTTTCAAAGAGGAAATTTCTGAAATGGTTGTTTTTGTAATTTTCTTTACAAGTAATACTGTTTAAGGGATAATTACTCTGGAATTTGATTTACTGTCGCAGTTTCTGTAGAATCCTTCGAGGGAGTATTGCATGCGGGCAGTTCAAGTCCTGGCGGAGAAGCAGCTACATGCGGCATTCCGTCGAGAACCTCTAAGCTGATGATCCGTGGGAAGTAAATTATTATTAATTAGCTTTTAAAGCCTATAATTTACGTATACTTACTCTGGTTCTTGGGCGGACTCTTTGGCTTCCGGGGATCTGATAAGGTTTTCGTTCATATCCTTAGCTTTAGCGGGAGACTCCACAGAACTTTCAGACCCGGGAAGTTCGAGTGCTGGCGAGGGATTGCCTAGCTGTGGCAGACTTAACCTCAGTTCCTCGGCAACCTCCTTGCTGAGATTGGCCAGCATGCGAGCCTTCATCACCGTCGTACAGGCCACCAGCTGGAACTCGTACTTCTCCCGTATCTCCGGTGTTATGTAAAATGCCAGGTAGAAGTCAAAGGCACACTCGTGGAAATCTTTGCTCTCATAATTCTTGTCCTTTTGCTTCATCTGTTCCACAATGTCTGATAAGTTCAACAAATTCTCCTTGAACAACTCAAAGGGGACGATGGAACTGTGGAATATTTGAGGAATAAGTTAAGGGAATATTAGTAGGTAAGAATCGTTTGATGCTCACTTGCTTTCCAGCGTCTTTTTGGCTGCATATTCCGCTGTACTTTTGGCTTTATCAAACGGTCTTCCAGACTCCAGCAACTTGGCCAAAAGGCTCTGTGAAACCTCCTTGAACAAGTTCGTAGTGGATCGCTTCTCCGGATGCATGTAGAAACGATTGTAGAACCTTTGAAGGGTATGTTTGCGAAAGCCGTCATCGGCCGCAAGTTTTAGTAAATCCTCACTCTTGGCGATCCTTTTAAACACCTCCATTTTGTTGAGGCTATGTTCGAAAGTCCTAAAGGATACCGGAAAGAGGAAGGTTCCAGCCCTGCGAAGAGTAAACAAATCAAATCATTATAAAGATCAGCTTGATGGAAAGGCCACTCACTTGTCCACTTCAACTATGATATCCTGGCATCGTGTTGGCGTTTCTTGAAATGACGAATCGCTCTCAACTTTCACTGTATCGAGGGATGGGGATTGTACGGCTACCAACGGGCATTCTTGGGATGCTTCTGTGTGGGAATGAGTCTCCGGCACTTTGAGCAGATTCATGCGTGTCCGCCGGGGACATGCTCCAACCTTAAATGCATACCGCTCCCTTATGCTGGGATTGCGGTAGAACTCCTCGTAATACCATCGCGTCCAGTAATTAACCGTCTTGCTGCCACCATCGGCCGCTTTCAATTGTTCTGCTATTTCTGGCAAGTTCACAATCAACCTTTGAAATGTCTTGAAGGGAACGGGACGACTGCTTTCCCTAAAATCAGACATTTTCAGCTTTTATGCTACAGTTCGGTTGACAGCAATTTCTATGAACTTACCGCTTTCCCGTTGGGTGTTTCTTATTCGTCGCAGACATGGCACAAACTCATAAAATTAATCAAAACAAACGCAATTAAAACCGCGCAAAATTTCTCAGGTACGAATAATGTGACCGTGCAACGAGTCCTGAAATATACCATAGGATAATTGGGTATTCGATAACTATGAATAATTGAGTGTTTACACTGGGTCAACTTGGTTTCCACATCTTGGTTACAAGTTTGAACTTGAAAATAAAGAAACACTTTATTAAAATAGTTAGTAATACAAATACCTTTAAGGGCCTTTAAAAATGGAAAAAGTTATGGCTATACCGAATACCCAAGTTCAATAATGAATATGGCCCAATCTCAATTTCAATGTATTCAGACTTTTCAAAGATTTTTGAAGAATACCTTTCAATTCCCTGCATTATGTGTCAAATTCATATGTCCAATCGAATGTAATCGATAGCATCGTCGGGATCAGCTGTTGCGCCAGCTGCTCACCCGCGGCTGCGCTGTTCACACTGCCAGCATCCGCGACAACAAATATCCGCCGAGCAGACCCACGAAAATCGGACACATCACCGAGATCTTGAGCGAGATCTTGCTGACGTGCGACCAGATGCAGAGCCCCGCCTTCGCGTACCGGGAGAACGCAGATCACTCGCCGCGCGCCATGTACATGCGCGACTGGCGGTCGGCCCTGCGGACGCCCACGTACCGGATTGGGAATCGGACGGTTCGCTTCAACTACCACTTTGCCCTGCTCATCGCCTGTGCCGTCGTTCTGGCGCTACTCTTCTACTTTGCGCGCCAGGGATCGCACTCCTCCTCGGATGGCTACTGGATGCGCAGGAGCTTCAGCGAGGCCCCTGTGGCCCACGGCTACAATGCCACATATCCCCTCACGCCGCCCATGGTGCTGCGTGGCGGGGTCATCAACTACCGGATAGCCATGATCGCCGACCTGGACACCAACTCCAGGGTGACCAAGAGCGACGGCAGCTCCACGTGGCGCAGCTACCTGAAGAAGGGCTACCTCACCTACACGATGGCCAGGGCGGAGATCCAGATCAGCTGGGATGATGGAGCGCCCACGGTCCTCGAATCTGCCTTCGCGCTGAAGGGCCGCGGCATGGAGCTCTCCGAACTGGTCACCTTCAACGGGCGACTGCTCAGCTTCGATGATCGCACGGGTCTGATATACGAGATAGTCAACGACAAGCCCATTCCCTGGGTGATCCTGCTCGATGGCGACGGGCACAGTGCCAAGGGCTACAAGTCCGAGTGGGCGACGGTGAAGCAGCAAACACTGTATGTCGGTTCCATGGGCAAGGAGTGGACAACGAGTGCGGGCGACTTTGAGAACAACAATCCCATGTACGTAAAGGCCATCAGCCCTTCTGGGGAGGTGCGTTCGCTCAGCTGGGTGGACAACTTCAAGCAGCTGCGCCTGCAGTCGCAGCAGATCTCCTGGCCGGGCTACATGATCCACGAGAGCGGCTGCTGGTCGGAGGAGAAGCAGCGCTGGTTCTTCCTGCCCAGGCGCTGCTCTAAAGAGAAGTGGGATTGCTATCCATCAGCCTATCCATTCTTTACTAATCTCTCTAACCTCTTTTACCTGCAGATACAACGAAACCAAGGACGAGCACATGGGCTGCAATGTCCTGGTCTCCGCCGACGAAAGCTTCTCGAACATCGAGACCGTGCACCTTGATCCTGAGAACACCACGCCCACGCACGGCTTCTCGAGCTTCAAGTTCCTGCCCGGCACCGATGACTCTATTATTGTGGCCTTGAAGTCCGAGGAGCTCAATGGCAAGACGGCCACCTTCATCACAGCCTTCGACATTGCGGGCAAGACGCTGCTACCCGAAATGCGGATCGAAACCGAATACAAGTACGAGGGATTCGAGTTCATTTAGCTCGGCATTTTACTTCGATCCAGGTGCTCCAGTTTTAAGCGTGTACATAGTGTATTAATGTCCCCTACGGTAAGCTTTATATTTATAGTCAGCTAGGTTAGTCCACAGATGCTCCGCCTGATCCCTGTCCCGTCTTGTACCATAGCATAAATCCCATTTAGTTTACTTTTATTGAAATTGAAATATAAAACGTACAAAGCCGGTGGCAAACTCAGAATCGAAACCGTGGATCACATGACTTTAACCTTTGCATCCAGTCCTGCCACCAGAAGATCGGCTTCGTCCACGCGTCCCTCGCTTGCCCGCACCTCCAGTCAATCGGCGTTGTGGTTGACGTTCCAGAGTTCGGGAAGGAAGCGCGGCTGCATGGTGTGCAGGAAGTGCTCTCGCCACAGACGCTCTAACTCAACGAGGCCGCCGAAGTTATCGCGATACTGCTGCACCACACGCTCGCCGTGCTGGCAGTAGTCCACGTTCTCCACTCGGTACTCCACGCTGGCTGCCTGGCGCAGCAGCTCTTCCGTGACCTCCGTTCGATCGGTGTAGTGGTCGAGGAGAGTTCGCTGCATTTCCGCCACCTTAACGGCGGGTATCTTTGCGCCATGGTAGAGAAGAGCCTTGCCAGCGGATTGAACGCGTCTAAAAACAGTACAAAATTGATTAAATAGTTTATCACAGCTAGTTTTAAAACAATGTTTCGGAAGTAAAGTCTGATAACCGTCGTCTGGGAAGATAACAGATAAGGTCTCCTCCCATTTCTAACGAAACAAGAGAGAACGCTGTACTCGGGTTGGTGTCCCGACTATCTAATACCCGTCACTCGGCTAAAGGGAGTGCGAGGGAGATAGATATATAACAGTTTTTGATTGCGCATAACTTTATAATGAATGGTCCGATTTGAAAAATGTCTTCTACATTTCGATAAGTATAAATATACACAACAAAATTGCATTTATACTTTTCGGAAATCACATTTAAAATCGTTAGTGAGCGATTGTGGGCGTTAGAGGGGGCGTGGCGCTCGGCTGAAATAAACTTGCGCTGCGTAGGAAGCCCAAGAATATGTGTGGAAAATCTCAACCTTCTAGCTTTTGTAGTTTCCGAGATCTCAGCGTTCATACAGACGGACAGACAGACAAAATACAATAAAAATACTAACTTAAGCTCCGGATCATCGCGGTACTTGGCCGATCCGTCTTCGTGCTTGAAGGGAGCTTCGCACTGGGCGGCCAGCTTGTTGCGCACGCGCAGATCGGAGATGTTGCTCAGCTGGTGGCAGGTGGGACAAAGGTGCAGGACGTCGTGGGAGGTGTGCGACTTCATGACCATCGGAAAATGCTTTCTGTACTCCCGCGGCACGACGTTCTTCCGTATGTAGGCATCCCGGTCGCCGCACACCACGCACTGGTTCTCCTTGGGCGTTTGGTAGTAGCGACCCACATCGCCCACTGCCCTTCCGGCGGGTTCGAAGTTCAGGCGCACGGTGAAGGGCTCCTCGCTGATCTGAGTGCCCAGATTTTGATTCAGATACCAGGAGGCCTTCCGCCGGTCAATGGTGCACAGCAGTTCGCCATCGGGCGCCTGCAGCAGGCAGTTGTCGTAAAAGTCCTTGGACCTGGTGGCCATTTGCCGGTAAGGTTGCTTCTTGGGCAGCCACTTCTTTCCTTGGGACTCTACCGAACCCTTTGAACGGTTAACTCCGCTGAGTGAGAAGCCCTTGGTGAAGTCCACGTCCAGAAAGGGTTCGAATTTGGTGCGTAATGCTTGGTCGTCCTGTGGCCGCCGTTGCCAGAAGTTTGTGGGCTGCAGATCCCGGCAGAGTTTCTGGTAAATGGCCACGGCCACCAGGGCATCATTCGCGGCATAATCGAGTTGCTTCGGCTCCAGCTGCTTGGCCTCCCAGTTGGAGCAGGCCAGGCGCCAGTGCTTGTCCAGTTTGTAGTTAAGATGTCGGTGGGAGAGCTTGCCCAGTCCCTCCGGTTGGTGACCCGCCATGACGCACAGGAAGCGCAGATCCAGGGTGCTCGCCACGCCCACTCCGTAGTCGTGGGAGAGCTTCATGGCATCTTCCTGCGGCGCCACGCCCACTTTGATCACGGCATCGTCCTCGAGCAGATCCCGCAGATCCTTGGGTATCTGTTTCATGTGACACAGGCGGAAGAGGGCGCACAATCCCCGGTGGGAGCTCAATTGGAGGAGAGCCACTGGCCTCCGGCTGCCGCCCACGGTGATCCATTCGCAGTCGAATCCCAGGACCTTGAAAGTCTGGCAGTGACTGAAGGGAAGATGGTGCAATTAGAATTTATCCTCAAAATAACTTAATACCCACTTCTTGAGTTCGCTTAAAACCCATTGCGTGGCAGGATCCTGGACCGAGTTGACCACTTCTATGTGACGCTGGGGCAGCAGGCTGCCGGAGGACCAGACGCGACGCCAGGGGCCAAGTAGTGACTTCCTGTGCCGCACCAGAACGTAAACTAATCCAACTCCTGCGGCCACAATTGCCAATTTCCTGGTGGTAACACCCGAATCCTTGCTCATTGTTTTCCTTTTGGACCCAAACAGCTGAGCGAAGGGAATGCCAACTTGGTGAAATGAAAGCCGGTCTAAAAAATAGCTAGAAAAGCTATTGTTGGAAGTTAAATATATGGGGTATTCCCCAAAACTGTTTAATTTTGGTCAGTTTTGTATCAATTAAATTTCTTCAACAGAGTTTCAGCAATTCAACAACCTCCTTGGATTGAATTAATAGAGAAACTAAAATTTAAAAATTTCTGGTGAATTTACAAGAAAACTATTTAGTTTTTGTGTTAAAACTAAGGAATGTCTTCTTTATTATTTAAAAAAAAAACAGTTTTTTGCATATCATTAAACAATTTTTAAAGGTTTTAAAAACCTATTAAATCCTGTAGCCATTTTTGTTATAGCCAAAATATGACCGTTAAAAAAGGTGGCACCATTGCCGTAGTGGCAGCACTGGTTCGCAGGATTTTCCGAAATCGCCGTTTGCAAAAAAGATTTAAAATGTTTAATTAAACGCAGATAATACGGGCAAGCAATGAATAAAACCCTGTGAAACGGGCGGCGGGGAAGCGATGTGCGAGTGAAAAGTGCGCAAAAGGCGGCAGCAGAAAGAGACTCAGAGCGTAAATAAAGGGAGGCAGTTGTAAAAAAATCGATTTTTCAGTGCAGGTGAGACACCGTTAGGCACCCCACACACACACTAAAGCAAACTCTTTATCAGGATGCTGAAACTGTAAAGGATCTTGAGATTGTAGCAGAAGAAACCCCTGAAATGCCGGAGAACCTGGAGCTGCAGCAGTTCCAGGAGGGCGCCCCGCCCCCAGATCCCGCCCCCCGTTGGCTGGAGCGCCTGCAGCGTCGCCTGGGCGCCGATTGTCCCTATTTGGGCATCCTGCTGGCCACGCTCTCCTCGCTCTTCTTCTCCCTCTGCTCGGTGATCGTCAAGGGACTGGTGGACGTGAATCCCATGGAGCTGGCCTCGTTCCGCTTCGTCGGAGTCCTGCTGCCTGCCCTGCCCATCCTGATTTACACCCGCCAGCCGGTGTTTCCGGAGGGCAAGCGGGTGATCCTCCTGCTGCGCTGCTTCATGGGCACCACGGGCCTGATGCTCAGCTTCTATGCCTTCCGGCACATGCCGCTGGCGGATGCGAGTGTGATTATCTTCTCGACGCCCGTTTTTGTGGCCATCTTTGCACGCGCCTTCCTCAAGGAGCCGTGCACGCTGTTCAATGTGCTGACCATCAACCTGACCCTGGTCGGAGTGGTCCTGATCACGCGGCCACCCTTTGTATTCGGCGATTCGGCGGGGGTGAGTGAGGATGCCGTTGGGAAGACATACGACATCTGGGGACCCGTCGCGGCCATCTCATCCACGCTGTTCGGCGCCAATGTTTATATCCTGCTGCGGGCCCTCAAGAACCTGCACTTCTCGGTGATCATGACGAACTTTGGCACCATCGCTCTGGTCTACACGCTGATCGTTTGTGGCTCCATTGGAGCGGTATGCTGGCCCAGCTGCGGCAAGGATCGTTGGCTGGTCGTGGTGCTCGGTGTGTTTAGCTTTTTGGGACAAATCCTGCTCACCCTGTCCCTGCAGATCGAGCAGGCCGGACCGGTGGCCATTGCCCGGTGCGCGGACATCGTCTTCGCCTTCGTCTGGCAGATGCTCTTCTTCGGCGAGACACCCACCGCCTATTCCCTGGTGGGCGCCGTCATGGTGATGGGATCCGTGGTCCTGACGGCGCTGAAGAAGTGGGCGGGCACCCTGCCACGCGAGTCCTCGCTGAGGAAGCGGTTCCGGCTCATCCTGTTGGAATAGAAGGATAAGAGGATTCTATGAGGAATCCAAGAAGTTCGTGGTTTCTCCCCCGTCTTGCCATCGTTCTCACCCAATCCGCACCCAAAACCAGTTCATTCATCGTAGACTTAACTTATATCAAGGCTCAGATCGTAGTTTAATCAAAGGAAATCAGAATGGACGCGTGATAACCAGTCCGCTCATAAGTAAATACTCGTAGTGCGTGTTTAGTTTAGCCAATTTCGCCGATTTGTTGTTTTGTACATTGTTATACATGCTTAAAATACGATAATAAATACAACTTATGAGTAAAAGTAGCAACATGTTAGAATTTCCTTTTGAATTTCGCGCTCTTCGGGTAAAGTGTTGTTTCCACTGTCACAGTATTCTACATTTGACATGGTTTTTACACAAAATTCTTTGACTTCCAGGTGATTAAAAATGAAATGAACATTTTCTGTTAATTTTAATTCGAAAATGTTTCACATATTTAGAGGAAACGTAGTAATATGTGTCAGTGGAAACAGCTCAATAAAGTAATCGATATATCGATTGCTGCAACTACTCTAACTTCCACCTCTTGTTTGGTTTTTGTTCCATCTCTAGTCGCTGTTTATAAACAAATAATAATAATAAATAAAGTTAATAAACGCGATAAATGTTTAAATAAGTTTATAATCTCGAAGCACACACACTCGATAAACAGAGCAAGGAACGGAAGGAAACAGAAAAAGAAGACGGGCGGGGACTAGAAGCCCAGATCGGCGATAACCGCGTCCAGTTCGTCCTGCAGATTGGTGGCCCGCGATCGCACCTGCACAATTTGATCCTGCAAATTGTCGACGTTCGCCTGGAGCAGCACGTTGCACTTCTTCATCGCGGCGAACCGGCTCTCGTGCTTCTTCACCCGCGGCTCCACATTCGCCTTCTTCGCGGAGTTCGGCGAGTCCTGCGGCAGAAAGAAAAATCCGGTGAGTTGGTAATAAAATCAAGGATAATCCTAGCTAACCTCCGGCTCGGACTCGCTGCCCGTTTCCGCCTCACTTTCCTCCGAATCCGACTCCTCGGACTCGTCGTCGGAATCCTCCCCCTCCTCGGTGGCATGCTCCTCCTCGGCCTCCTCCTCGTCCTCGTCCTTCTCCTCGCCATCCACGTCGTCCTCGTCCAGCTTCATCGAGGCGGCCATCTTCTGCACCTCCTTCTCCAGCTTCTTGAACTTCTTGTTCTCCTCCCTGAGAAAACAAAGGCTTCAGAACCAAGTTCAAACCTACCAAATCCCTTACTCACTTGAGGATCACATGGTTCTTCTTCATGGCCTGCTTGAGCGCGTCCTTCTCCTTCTTGGCCGCCTCCTCCTTGACCTTCAGCTTGGTGAGCTTGCTGCGCAGGATCTTCAGCTCCTTGCCAGAGCGCCGCTCCCTGCGCTCCACCTTCTTCTCCTCCGGCTCGTCGGGATCGCTCTCGCTGACCTCGGGCTCCAGTTCCGGCGAGCTGTCCCTGCCGAAGTTCGCATCGCTGGGTCGCCGTGATCCGTCCAGGGAACCTCCTCCCTGCGAAGCGGAATTCATCCGAATTGGAAAATGGGAGAAAAGGGAATACAAAGCAGAGATTAGCAAGGGCATCCTCTGGCCGGACCTGGCTTTACCTGGTGCCGTGCTGCATGGTAGTGGTCGTAGTGGAAGCAATCGTCGTAGTCGTCGTCGTCGTAAGCAAAGCAATTACTAATGTGCGGTCTGTTAGTGCTTGGTGTCGCCTTTTGCAAGAGAGCGTCAATGGGTTAATCGGTTAGTTGCTGCCGAGTGCGAGAGAAAAGCTTTCGGAGGATGGATGGGAAATCTGATCTTCAACGGGTCATAACTCCGCTTGGGTCTGGGCGGAATCGGTAAGATATAGTCATTCATGCAGCATGCTAGTAGCAGTTGGAGTCAAAGCTTTCAGCACACGAGATCTTCAAGGAACAATGTTGGGAATTTCTATAGCAGTTCCCTAAACATCAAGAAATTTATTTACTAAAATTAAAATATCTTCAAAAGTCGCCCGGCGAAAAACTAGTGGATTACCTGTTGAAATATCATGGCTAAGCTACTGAAAAACTTATGACAGGCCATGAAAATTGTGTAAAATAAAGATTTACCTTTCATTTAGCCATGTGTCCGGTATTTACATTGGGAAAAAAGCTTGAAACTAAATACGCACAACTTGGACGCCTAACTTTTTCAGTTTATTTCCCAGAAAGTTGATTTCATTTTGTTAGAAATTTAGTTGTTTTGAAAAGAAATGTGAAACCAGGCTGATAATCATGCTGTTTTTTAATTTAGCAAATATATGGCTTCCGAAAAATTCTACAAATTGAGTTTTAAAGTAAAATGGAAAATAGGTTTTGGTCAGTTTCAAATTTCTATTTCATGTTTTTCTTCTACTTGATTTTATTGTTCATCTTTTTTTACAGTATGCTGCAATTATTTTTCTTATTGGTCCCTAAGCCTCATGTGCAGTTTTTATAGAAGCATTTAAAGGAAGGAATAAAGTTTTTGGGGAAACGAAAGGGTGCCCCTGGACAATCCATTCCCAGACCCATCCAAGATTCGTGTCAAGTGTTGTCAGCTGATCTGTTTCTCTGGCTACAGTGGCTACTAGGGACTTCTAACGAGGGTTCTAGAGAGGACTCTACTGATTGCGCTGGCTTCGTTAGCTGCTCCCGTCTACTTGCCGCCCTCAGCGGACGCAGCGAGGCGACGCCGTTGAGTTGACTAAAAACAAGAAAGAAGGACTAGCTTGGGGGTAAACCCTTGGGGATAATTACTCTTACGGAGGGTAATGATATAGGGGTAAAAAAGAGGAATTAAGCTTTGAACTTATTAAAAACTGAATTATTATTATTAGTATTTACATTAGAGTGGTTGGAAAATTAAATAGAAAACGCTGTAATCCTTTGGTTAACCGAATGGAAATCCTAGTCTCAACTGACAACACTTTGAGCGACATCCCACAATATTATCAAACCCCCATCCAAAATACCGACTCACCTGTAGAGCTGCTGCCAGCTTCCTCTCGAGCAACTGAATCTGGCGGCGCTGCTCCTCGATCTCCGTCTTGGCCTCCACCAGCAGCTCGCTGGTGCTCTGGTAGTTCTGCTCCACCTCCTTGGACACCTTGCGCGCATCCTCCACTTCGCGCTTCAGCGAGTTCACGTAGGTCTGTTCGGCGGTGGGCGTGGGATCCATGGTGGCCACAATTACATTGGATCCGTACTCGAGATTCTTCTCTCTGGACTTCTCACGCTCCAGCTCCGTTTCCAGGGTGCGTATCTTGGCCAGCAGCTTCTTGTTCTCGCGCTCCTGGGCCTCCCGATTGCGAAGTTCGAGGGCCAGCATCTGCTTGGTGCTCTGCAGATCATCGCGGATCTTGTCGATGTCGTCCAGCTCGTCGGGACTCTCCTCGTCGATGGACATGGCCGAAACGATGCTGGGCCGGGAACTGCCGGCTCCCAAAGCGACGGCACTGCTTGGACCAAGGGCATGGCTGCTGGGCGCCTCGCTGAGCATGTTCACCTTGGACTGGGACTTTTGCAGCTGCTCCTCGATGGTCATTTGGCGGCGGAACTTGCGCAGTCCATCGAGCACCGGCTTGCTGCGATCGTTCGTCTTGGTGGGCTTTAATTTTATGCCGCCCTGGATCTGCTTGAGCAGCTTGTTGTGCGAGTTGCCCTTCTCCGTCTCGTAGATGAACTTGTCGTCCACTTTGGTCATCGACTTGCACGTCAGGATGGGCTGAGATCTGTGGTGAATCGGAGTTAAACGAAATTAATTAACCATCTTAAGATTTTCCAGCTGCTTCCCTTTTGATTCCCTTTTCAATTATTGGTAGTGTTGCAATCGGTAATTACCTATCGTTGCAGGCCACATGGCGCAGCTTCTTGCCGCTCTCCACCTCCTTCATCATCTCGGACCAGTCCGGGCGCCTTCGGGGTCGTGTCCTGCGAATCGAAGCGAATCGGAATTATGGCCATCCTGCGCCTCAAAGGGGAAAGCTACCCAGCTATCTTTACGCTGGGTATTCGGGGTCACGCGGTCACCTCCACTCACCTGAGCTTCTCGAGGGTTTCCTTCTGGTTGCTCGAGAGCACTCTCTTCTCACCAGGGGCTAGGGGCGGGGGCGGCGGTGGCGGAGCCTTGGGCACCAACGAGGGCAACGGCGGCGGGGCGGGAACTGCAACAATAAAACACGGAATGCACCCAAGTGGGTGGCGGTTAGTCGGTGCTGCAAGTGGTGCAAGTGGGGCCGAGGTTTTTTTGTTGGTCGCTGGGCATTAGAGCAAATCGCCGGGCGCTGCGTGCACTCGCGGTTATTAAATATAATTTTAATTTAATGAGTTTGCAATTTGTGTCAGTTGTTTGTTGTTCTTTCGGCTCCCGCGGGGTTCTTTATTCCACTTCCCATTTCACCACCCACCCGAGGACTCGCCGCCCCAGTATTTAGCCGTTCTCTGCGGGCAAAGTTGCTCCATACATATCAATACAGGGCAAACAGAATGGATGGGATGGGTGCTACACTCGAAATGTAAATTGTTATTAATGTTTTTAGAGTTTTTCAAATGCATTGAGTACTAAATGGGTCACAATTTTATCAATTACAATTTAAAAATGCTTTCTACAGTTGGTTTTTAAACCCCCTTATTTGTAAACTTATGATCTTTTTATTTTAGAGAACTTTTCAGTATGTTCTGACAACAAAAGATACCCATTATAAACATAAACCTAATACCAATATAGTTATTCTTGTAAACCTGTGATCTTTATATTTGTTTGACAACAAAAGGTACCCGTTATAAACATAAACTTAATTCCAAATTGGGTTTTAAAATTTCTTATTACAAATTGCCTAGCATTTTTCGTAAATTTAGTTTATTATTTCCCATTAAGCTAAATAAAAGACGAATAGAACAGGCTTATAGTGTGTTTATCTAAAGTTTTGCTTGGTGTAGGGTCCTCTAGGGGGGATGGGAGCCCAGACACATGGCTGTCTCTGTCGGAAGTTGCAGCAGAGATTGAAAAGTTAGTGCCTGCCTCCGCTTTGGCCCCGTTCTCGTCCTCGTGCTCGCCCTGAAAATGTGGACCTGGCTTTGATGGTGTTTTATTGCCTTAACACCATTCAATTCGGCTCACTGCGGGGGCAGTGGCGGTGGCACAAAACTTTGATTGCATTTTTTACTTTGTACGGGTCTCGCTCGACTGGCTGCCCCACTCACTAGCCAGGGTTTTAAGTTAGTTTAAACTCTTCTGGCCGGGACCCTTTGCCGCCTTCTTCTTCACTTTTCACTTTATTTCTTATTCGTGTTCGAGTTCGTGTTCGTCTTGGTGTTCTGTTAACGAGGCCAATTAGGATTGGCCGTGTGTTCGAGAGCACCCCTGGCGGCCAGCTGTTTCTAATAAATTTCCGCTTAAATTGTTGGCCTAACAACCTCTCTCCCACCTCCAACCTCCCAGCAATTCGAGGTCATCTTTCCTCCTTGGCCTCGTAATTAACAATTGAAAAAGTTGCCCAGTTTCGATTTCTTCCACACTCACTCACTGGCATACATACATCAGCATACTTTTCTTTTGTAATTTCTTATCAAATACTTTGCATTTCCCTCGCTTTTTTCTCTCTTTCCGCTTGTTGTTAAAAAGTGTAAAAGTCAAACAGGAGAAAGAAGAGGAAAACAATGAAGGCACCACCAAGTGATGAAAAGCTGACAAATCTGTTAATTAGCTTTGTTTGAGATAGAACCCTGGCTGACAGGAGGGGGAGGAGAAATGGGTGGTTACCAAGGACACCCCCGGCTTTATCCTTTGTCTGAGCTCCAGTTTAGTCTACCTTCTCCTTTTTCGGTTCTCGGTCTTTCGGTTTTTCGGTTTCTCGGTTGCGCCTGGCTGGATCTGCACTTAATCTTTAAGTGGTTGGCTGCCTTTTGCGGTGCATTAGTATCTGAAACACCTCCTCCCCCGAGCCGAAAAAGAGAGGTAATGAAACTAATCCGAACTCGTGTTACTTTGCTGAATAAAATCAGGGCAAACGAGCAACTTGATTATTGTCTAGAGGTGCTCTACCTCCTGCGAAACTACCACTGCTCATGAATTTCATCCCCCCATGTCTGCATGTTAATGAACTGCTCCCCGAGAACTCTGATTAAAATACGTGGTCAACTTTTGGACAGCCAATTGAGGACGCGTTTAGTGAGTTGCGCTTAATTCGGTTTAGTAATTTATGGACAAAAGAGCTCCCTTTAACCACTAAACCCCCCTTTTTGGACCCCCGGCAGTTATCCTAAATCAGTGGCAAACAAAAGTGGAGGCGAGCAAGAAACAAAAGAAAGCAAAACAACATCAGGCGATGAGGAAAGAATGAAGGAAGAAGGGTGCCGTGGCGGGCAGATAAAAGTCTTCATTCATTCATGTCGACAAAATTATTTCTTATTTAAATAAAAAGCAAGCACTGCCAGGACTGAAGAGTGCTGGTAGGTAGGGGCTACTCGGGAGCTCCGAGATGATGCTACCCACTTAATATACCGCAAAGCCCGCACTTACGACGTCGCAGAATGAATAGCGGGGTATGTAAACATAAATTTTGCGAGCTCACTCTCGCTGGGTTGGTGGCGGCACCCTCCTCATAAAGTCCCGCCCCTCCTGGTGGCACATTGTGTTATCATCAGCAGAATATTCTATGCATGCACAAATGTTGCCGTTGTCATTGAATCAACCCGGAGTATGGAGTGCCGGGAAACCCGGGGAAACTGGAGTGGGAAAAGGGGAACTGGTACTGGGTAACTGAGAAGTGGAGTCCTGCCGCCCGATGAGTGACTTCCCAGCTTCCAGGCTCCGCTCATTCATTGTCTGCCGGGGCATGATGAAGCACCGCTCAGCCAGCCCATATATTTCACGGCGAAGAGGGGAGGAATGCTCCTCCTTATGATTAGCGTTGCTGACTTGGCCAGCAGCCAGTGCGAAGGGGCTAACAGGGATTACATGGGGCTTTTTGCAACTATTTGGAACCCTATTAGCTCGGAAATTATGCTGTTGTTTCACCCTAAAACCGTAAGCGTTTCTTTATGATTTCACTTTCGGAAGGGAATTTTAATTTTCACTATTTTAAGGAGATTTTCTGGCTTTTGCATATTTTATCATTTTGGGTTTCATTTCTACAGAATCCGCTTAAGGTTTTCTGTTCCCTTTGACTCTATAAACTGGTATACTTATAAATATTTTTGTAAAAATAAATAAAATAAGTTTTAGCCACTTTCAAAGTTCCTTTAGTTATCTTCAAGTTTCCTTTGTTTATCAAATATTTTTGCTGTTTCCGCTCGACGGTAACCCCCATTTAATTCCCTTTGCCTCAGGTGATGGTCCTTAAGTCCAATTAGAAAATTCAATTTCAATTTGGATTTGTTCTGCTCTCGTTTGGGGGACACTAATCCAATTATGCAGTCAACCATTTCATTGTCGCCCAGTATAATTATGGCCAACAGCTATTGGCCAATATTCGCCAGAGAGTATGCGTGTGTGAGTGAGCTTTGAACCATTTCCTTTTACGTCATTTTGACCACGCTATTTTGAAATTTGAAAGAGCCTAATCATCTTTTATGCTTCGCTGGGTGGGACACACACAGAAAACACCGAAAAACCCAGAAAGAAAATCACCCTCACCTATTGAAAGTCGACATTTCTAATGACGAGCAGACGACCCAGGACTCTGCACCATCGCCACCCATCGCTTGACCCTGGAAAACCAGGCAAGGAAAAAGGAAAAGCAAAAAATTTCCCAAAAACCAGAGAAAAAAGAATGGAAAAAAAATTGGGGCGCAGCCGTTACATGTCTCGCATCTACACACGCATACATAGAGATGAGGCTCATTTAAATAAAAGAAAATATTTCTTGTCCTGCCGCCTTTTTGTCCTTTGAAGACATTCTGGGGCTCTTAAGACGGGGAACTTGCGGCCAGCGCCGTCTTTTATTTCGTTTTGTTTTTTAGTGGCGGATATTTGAATATAAATGGCGCATTTAGTTAGACTCTATCAAGCTCATTCCCATATATCTTTGGCAGCTTTCGGTTCCCCCCGAAGATTCACTTCCAATTCGAGTCCGAGTTGGCCTTTTATCATTCGATAGTTGCGAGTTTTTCGAGGGAAAGGAAAGTTAAGAGACCAAAACTCTGGCCGCCCGTGTCCTTGTGCCTCCGCGCCATTCCTCATCTGGCTTTAAAACATTCCATTTTATGTTGTAGTTTTGACAGAATGAGCAATAATCATGAATTTTGTCTTAGACCATAAAAAAAACCTCCACTCCACTCAGGAGGACCCTTTCTACTCAAGAATTCGCCCCGAACACATTAAATAAATGTTTCTCGGCTGCTCCCCTTTTTTTTTTTGGTTCGGTTTTTGTTTTTGTTTGATAGGGTGACAGCTTTAAAAAGGACAAACGTTGGCCTGTTTTATTTTTGGCGGACATCGTTTTTTGGTCATTTTATTTAGTGACCTCTTTGGCCAGTCTCCGCCTCTTCGATCCCTTTGTTTGTCGGTCAAGATTAGGAGGCATTTGCGGTCACGTTATTGCCCACTGATTAGGACGGGGACAAAGGCAAGTTAACTGCCTCACACGTAGCCTTTTTGAACCGCTCCTTCCACCGCCAGGAGGTCCTAACGAGCTTTTCACTTCATTTTAGTTGCCTGCCCTGCAGGAAATTCCCAGGGGGAATGCGAGGAGAACTCGAGGCGGCTTTCTGCAATTCAATTTTGAGGCCAGGTGACAGCACACTTATGCAACATTTGGTTTCTTTGTTTTTCGAAAGCCTTGCTCTTGCTCTTTTACCGCCAATTGAGCCCAGCCTCGCGGCAGGAAAGTCCATTACAAAATTACAAGCTCCTCGAGAGTTGAGTGTGTGTGGCAATAAATACGGAATTAGAGAACATTTGCTCCGGCATATATACCTTTGTTATGCTATATTGTTTGCCCTTTCGAACGAGCGACGAATGGTATAGGGATCCTCCCCGGAAAACGAAAAACGAGATGGAAACCCAAATAAAGCCCACTCGCAACTGCAGGCAGGAAAACACTTTGCGCCTCTTTCGGCTCAATGCACAACACTCACTAAAATTTAATAAATAAAATATGATATTTATATTGCTTTATAGCCTTGTTTTTCCCACTGTTCCCGCTGTTCCCACACCGTTGTTCTCTTGTCCCTTGTCTGTGTGCGCTTTGTGGTTTTTGTTTGGGCGAAACATTTTGATGAAATATTTTTTACACATTCATTTCAAGTATATAAATTCCCATATTTCTATATGAGTACGGGCCCGCTGCATACAGACACTTGCAATCCGTATATTTTCCTGCGTTTTTATAAATGAGCAGACAGCGATGCCTGTGAGCGACATGTAACAGACATTGATGGCAGCGTGAGGGTATATTTCTCAGTGTAAATTAAAGGAGGCGATTTAAAAGCCCTCGCTAGAACCAACACAATGCTGAAATTCTATATTGGACATTTATATGTTGAAAATATTGCTCAAAATATTTATCAGGATTTAATTTGGTTTTAATAGTGTGTGTTGTAAGCCCCACCTCCTAGAAAAGTTACCCTAATTGAGAAATATGACTCCTTCAACAAGTAATTAATTACATAAACCCAACTAAAATCCGAATGAGTGATGTATTAGCATACGTATAAAATTTCACAGGTATTTTCATGGTAATTGAATGATTTATAACTCATACGCCCCGTAAAACGTTTGCCATCGATGCTTGTGCAAACAAAATGTTTCACCCAAAAATAAATTGACTATGACACATATAATCTCTTAAAAACAATCCTCACGTTCCCATCGCCAATGAGAGATTTTTTGTTTTTGCACATATCGCTCATACGCCATGGTGACGCATTATTATTTGTTTTGTTTGCTGCGCTCCCAGTGGCCTTGCCTTTTGGCCAGGGCCGATGAGAGTGGCAAAGGCAGAAAATGCGAAAAAATATAGAATATAGAATATACAGACCCACAGCCTTCCACGGAACGTAAATCAAACATTTCTGGTTAGACATTAGACATTAGAGAAGCAGAGGGGCAAAAATTTACAGCGCTTGTTGAGTCGATCCATTCGCAGAGGTTAATCGGGTTAATCCAGTCGGGCATCGGGTTAGGTTCCATCACAGGAGCTGGCTGAGATCGGAGATCGGACAACTTACCGCACTTGATGCTCGGCTCGCGCTTTATGGACGCTTTGCGCAGGGTCTTGGTCGTAAACTCGGGCTTGGGCTCCTCTTTCGGCTCCTTGAGGAGCTCATCGATTTTGGGTACCTTCTTGAGCACAGGCCGGATTTTGGCCAGGTCGTCGGTGCTCTTGCTGGGCAGGGGCTTCTCCTCGCGCTTCACGTGCCGCAGCTTCGGTTTCTCCATTTTGAAGCGGCGCCGCTTGTCGCGCTCCTCCTCCGTTTCGCCCTCCTCGGCCTCGTCGTCGTCCTCGGTGGCCATCTTTTTCAAGGACTTGTCCCGCTTGACCACCACGCTGCGTAACTTGGGTTTCTCCATGGTAAAACGTTGGCTCAACTCACTTTCCGGTTCCGGCTTCTTGTTGACGGTGGTGGGGCGCAGCTGGGCCGCCTTCTTCACGTGCTCGGGCACCTTCTCGTCCACTGTGGTGTCCTCCTCCTCCTCCTCCTCGCTCTCCTCCTCCTCGGACTCGCTCTCCTCCTCGCTTTCCTCCTCCTCGGACTCGGTTTCCTCTTCGGTCTCCTCCTCCTCCTCCTCCTCGCTCTCCTCTTCTTCGGAGGAGGATTCGGGTGGCGGTGTCGGCTCTTTCTTCTTCTTCAGTGCCGAGGTGGTGGCCACGGGCTTTTTGAGCCCCACGGTGGGCGCCACTTTCTTGACTGGCTCCGGCGCTTTCTTGGTGCTCACAGGTTCCGGTGTCTTCTTGGCCGCCGCTGTGGCCAGGGAAGATTTCTTCACGGGCTCCGTCACCTTCTTGGCTGGCTCGGCCACCTTCTTGGTCGGCTCAGGGGTGGCTGAGGTGGTTTTCTTCGCGGCTGCAGTGGTGGTGGCTGCAGCCTTTGGCTTGGTCGCAGTGGATTTTTCTCCGTTTTCCTTGGACGCCGGAGTGGCGGCCGTTGTGGTCGCTGTTTTCTTTGCCCATGGCGTGGCGCTGGGCTTTGTGGCGGTGCTGGTGGCAGTGGTGCCGCCATCGTCCTTCACCCATGGCGGGCGGAATGTGGTGCGTCCGCCGGGCGCACTGCTTGCACTGCTTGTTCCCGCACGGGGCGTCACAAACGGCATCTCGTCGTCGCTGTTGAAACTGCTTGCGGTCTTCTCGACTTTTCTCCGCTACTTCCTCTGCTGGTTTATTTTTTCTATTTTCCCGGTATTATTTCTGTTAAATTCTCCAGGGGCCGATGTCGTCGCCCGTCTATTCGCACACTCTTTTTAAATAATTTGCCGTGAATTCTTTGCTTGTTTTTCCCGTTTCTCTTGGCGTTGCTGCTGATGAAAACACAAAACTTTGCACATTAGCACCGTCGAGGGAAGTTGTCCGAAAAAGTTCTTTCATTCAGATTTTCCGTGTATTTTTTTTTCGTTTATTTTTCTATTTGCTTGTTTTTTTTATGTTGCCTCGCCTTGATAATTCTTTTTTTACGCGTATTTTTTTCTAATAGATTTTTATGTATTTTTTTGCGCGAATTTGTTGCTAGGAATTTTATTCTTGGTCCGCTGCCGACGATGAGCAACAGCTGTTTGAGATATTTTCAATCCGATTCAATTCATTTCAATTCGTGTATATTTGGGTATGTTTCATTTTCAATGTTATTTTTAACTGAATGCGCTCATTAGCTTTGCTAGCCGTTGCTGTTGTTGCTTGTGTCGCCGTTTCTACAGAGCGACAAAATGTAGGCCTTTGTGTCATAGTCATGGACAGGGACATTCATGGATACCGAACGGGATAGATATAGGAATATATAGAGAGGAATACCAGGAGGATGGGCCCGGGGGCCGGGACAAATGCATCAACAAATCCCAACTGAGTGGAATGCTTTTGCAGGCGTTCGCAAAAACGGCTACAGTTACAGTCAAATGTGTAGGACGACTATAGCTATTTAGATTACCCCGAATTACATAGTAATCGCGGAGATTAATTGACGTTCTATATCTACAGCTGCCTATATCTCCCAATTGATTTTAATTTTCTGAGATGTTTACGTATTGGAGAAGCTTTAATGACCGAATATTTGCATTTGTGAAAACAAATTTCCTAAACGATATTGGAAAAACATATTGTACCATTTGCTAGTCTAATTGAGCATTTATTTCTAGTAAAAACAAATTTGAGGCATGAATATCAGTTTCGGAATTAAAGTAAAACTTTCCTAAACTTACAATTGGTTTAAGAAACTTCTAGTACTCCAAGGACCTAAATAATAATGGATTTATGATCATTTATTCGTAGTCTTTATTAGAAACTTTTTAATTTTGTATGCAAATAAAGTAATTGAAAATGTAATTATTTGCTTTTGCTGAGCGAGAAGCCTTTCTCTGCTCTCCACTATGAATTTATAATGACCTCATTTCTAGGAAAATGTAAACAACAATTTGCAACTTTTCCTGCACTAATTGGGGAAAAGGAAGGCGAAAAATGCCTTTGCAGACCACTTAAACTTTCGGCGACCACTACTTTTTTGACCGCCACTGTTACTATGTTTATACGATAGCAATCACGATTTCTTGAAAGCGCGATATAGAAATAGCCCCTGTTTATACGACAGCCGAGAATTCATGCTTTTATTCACTCTCAGCTGATAGGGATGCCGGACCGGTAAAAATATCTAATTTTTAATACCACTGATTAGAGAAATGGCCTATAAAAGGCCTTCAATTTCTAGCGATCTGGCAACGTCAATAATTTTTTACAGAGTTACCAGATTGCATATCACCAAATCACGCTTTTGGGCTGAAATCATAGCCAACTTTCGTGTGTTGCCGAATTCACGAAATGGCGTTTATACAAGCACGAATCGGCCGAAAGCGTGAAATGATAGCGTGAATTCGGCATCGTATAAACACAGTATGTGCCGCGTGAATGTCCAGCTAAACGCCTGCGTATGTGTGTGTCCGTCCGTACATATGCACTCCAATAAACAGCACAAACAACAACAACAACAATGGGAGCGAGTGTACGGGAATAGAGCAACAAAAACAATAACAGAAACGATTTGCTCTGCCACTGGCTGCGATATGTAAAAGGCGAAAATATTTAATTTTAGGTTCTTTGTGCCGCCGAGAGTGGAAAAAAGTGAAAAAAAGTGAGGAAAAAAGTGAAAGAGACAGGCGGCGAGAGAAAACTGCCCAAGTGGGAGAGACAAAACGGAACCAAATCGAAAGAATAAAAGGAAACATATCTCTGGCGCTTTCGTCTTTCGCCTTTTTTCCCTTCCATCCATTTTGTTTTGCTTTTATTGTTGCTTTTGTTTTTATTCAACTGGCTCGTTTCACAAAGTAGACAGCAAAACGTACACAAAATCGGGTGTATGGAGGAGAAAAAAGGCCAAAAAATGGGGATGTCAGAGGGGATCTCTCGAAGAGGCAGAATGAAATCCGAATTCGTTTCATTCCATTGCCATTCCATGGCGGGTCCAAAAGCGTCAACCCCCTCCCCCACCGGCAAAACCTCCTATACATTCACCATATTCATTTCAATTCCTCTCGTCCGGGCCAATTGCAAATTTTTTGGCCGGAGCGACGAACACTTTCTCGGTCTTTCCTGCATGGAGGCGTTAATTAAACATGACATGCAAATAAAAATTATACTTAGAAATACAGTCCGACTTCCATGGCAAAAACTTGCCGGATAATAAAACAGATAATGGTTAAAATGCCACTGAAATGAAAATCTCAATTTTGCTTTAAATGCATTTTAAGCTGTTTTCACTTGTATTTTGTGTAATCGATATTTTAAAATTAAAAATCGTTTAAATTTCAACAATAAAGCGTTTTTTTCAAAAATTAAAATTTAATAGGACCAATTAACTATAGAAGTTCTGAAAAAAATAATCAGTGAATCAATTTTAGTTTTTTCTTAAGTAAAGTGACGTTGGGAAGTACGACTGTATTCCAAGGATTGCAGAGGATGTGCGAAGAGAGTAAAACAGAGGCCGACAAAAATGAAATTTCAATTAAAATTGCTAACGAGACTGGCTAATTTGACTCGAAAGTTGCGCGGAATCGTGTTTGGAATGGCAACTAACAGCTAATGCCCGGCCATATTTCATCCTAAGATTGCCTGTCAACAAAAGTGTTTAAAAATATCGCCCGGGATATTTTGGGAACGGCGGCCATTCATAACGCCCCTCCAGAGAGATTTATTAGATCGATTGGCCAGTTGACAAGAGCTGAGCAAAGCGCTTTCGCAAGTTCTGCGCATTTCGCCGCCCAAATGTACACGAATATGTGGCGGTGCTATATTTTTGGATATTTCACGGATTTTTCAGATTTTTATTATGTGTATTAATTGGTTCATTCGCTCGCTGCAGTTTGCGTTGCACGTTCGCGTTGTTGGACTATATATTGAATATATATCTATTTTTCGTATATATATATATATCTATTTGAACTATATATGTGTGCTGGTTGGGTCAGACACCCGCACACCACCACAACCGCAAGCACCACACACAAAAACACGGACACAGAGAGTGAATTTTCAGCAGCGGAGGCAGCAGCGCCTATGACGGCGTTTCAAAAACTAAATTCATACATTTTCCAACGGCACGGCGATGCCTGAAAATTTTTAAAATTTTCCCACTCGCTCTCCGAAATATGTAAAATCTCTCTTGGGATTCCTCTCATTATCTCTTTTTTTTGGGGAGAACAGAATCAAGTGAAATGAAAATTTTGTTGACCGACAGAGGAATATTTTTAGCATCTTTTTCGGTTTCGGCACGGGGGGATGGGGCGTATGGGTGATATAGCGGATACGATTGACCTTATGCCAGGTGCAGTTCAATGGAATTATTAATAACCAGCTATGTGGCCCGCTTCAAGGATACAGCTACCCCCTTTCGCGCTTCTATATGACCCCTCGTTATCCGCTCATTAGGCGCCTCTTATCGGACTCCTCACATTCAATGGGCCGCAATTACGCAAGTTTCTCGAGCGGCGTGGGCGTCGCAGCTAATTTCAGGGGGAGTGGGTGGGTGGGACGTCTTACCCTGTGATAAAAACCACTCGTCTAGAAAGTCCAAACCCATTAGTGCTTCTGTTCGATGGTCTGTCCGGTCGCAATGCGTTACTTCTCTCCGATTCGCTTTCAATATTTACATTGTCTACTAAGTGGTTGCTCCCGCGTTTCACTCAATTGTGGTTGACATTTCGGGGGAGCGGTGCAATCGATCGATCGATGGATCGATCGGACAGTGCGTGGCTATATTTTAAGTCCCACTGATCGCATATCGATTGGACTAGGGCTAGACTAATATTAATATTAATTGGTTAACAAATAGATAAGATATGTTTGAGATTCTTAGGATTTTGATTAAGTATAGTATAACGCTAATTGCCTTATTAATAACCAAGTGTTATGAATTGTTTTTAATTGAATTTATGTCATAAATTAATGAGATCAATAGATTTCTAAAGTGCACAGATGAGATATTTTTTCCTATTCCCTAAATATAAAATATATCTTCAATTAAATTTTCATACTTCTATTAATCGAAAGAGTTTTTTAGTATAAACAGATAACCCTAATTGCCCACTGATTAAACAACATTCATATTAATTTATGAGATAACACGATTTATGAGAAGTCAGATTTTTATATCGAGCACAAGAAATGAGTGTTCCGATAGGGAAATTTATTTATTTTTTCTAATTTGTTTTATTTATTTAATTTGATTTATTTTATTCTGGCATTCTAGCACTACAATTGTATTCTCATACTTCTATCAAACAATAAAAGGGTTTTACTCTGATAAAATGAAACTCATATCTCGGTGAATTCAATCAAAAAACTCCAACTGAGCGAAAACAAATAATTAAGGAGCATGTCACTACCACAAATATTTATTTAACTTGCAATGTGCGCTGTGGAAAACATGTTTTTAAATTTTTTTATAAAGCTTCGCCTGAAAGCACGCCACTAATTTGTTTTGTCAGCAGCAGCCAAAAAGTATGCCAAATTAAACAGCAAATATTCCCACGCCCACACCAACAGTGGAAATTTTCGCTCTGCAACCATTTGATATTTCATTTTGCTACCGAGCCATCTAACCGTTTTGCGCAAATATTAATTATATATGTATTTATTTCATAAAACATCCCGCATATGTTTGGGGACTTTAAAAATCCGCTTTAAGGCGATTGCGTTTTGGTTTGGAATTTCAGTATGCGATTGCGACATCCCCTGAGGCTTTATTAATTCATCGGTTGGACCTAGAATCGAAATGTTTTTCCACATGTGAGGATTGCAGCTTATGGAACCCCCCACCAAAACGACGACCCCCATGGCGAGCCAATGTCAAATGGTCGGAAAAACCTTTCGATTTGCGGGTTCGCCGACATTTTCAGCGCCGCGTGCCGACCAAAAACTTGTGCCATCGAAATCGAATTTGACACAAATTAATTGCTATTTGATTTGACAAGTGCGAACGGCAGGGTGGGAGTTGTGGCCGTCGAGTCGCGTGTTCGGATACAAAGAGCCAAAGAGCTGTGGGGGTTATGTTTAAGTGTTATCATCTAGAAATTGCTTTATTTGTGAAATGTTCGAAGAGACATCTAATGAATACTGAATGAACTCCTTGGCGTTGTGCGGGGAGCCGAGCTCGTTGTGGCTTCTCTTAAACTGCTGTTGCGAGGGATGAGTTCCCCAGACCCCTAGCCTAGACCTTGGGCGCAGCTGGCGGGGATTGGGGCGCCACCGGCTGTGGATGGACGTGGGGTTCCACGGGTGCCGAAGTGGTGGTCTCGGTGCCGTTTAGGAGGGTGAAATGCGGCCAACCGGTGATCTCAGCGAACAGCCTGTCCCCGGGACACTCGGTGTCCCGCACCTGTCTGTGGCCCAGCAGCTTGTAGGCGGGGTCAATGTAACCCTTGAAGACCCCAAAGGCGATTAGGTTCTTGGCCGCATCCAGCATCTGTTTGGGAGGCAGTTCAGCTAAAAGGAAGAGAGGTCATTAGTAAAGAGTTGGGGAAAAAGTACGGTACAAATTATAGAATAATCCTTAAATCCTTTAAATATATATTAAGAACTGTACTCACTTCTCCAATCTCCGATCAGCACGATGCCCACGCTCTTGTCATTGTACTTGGGGGCATGAGCTCCAATAACGTTGAATCCCCTTCCGGTGTAGATCATCCCATCGCCGCCGATTCCAAAGCTATAGCCGATATCGTTCCAGCCGCGCTCCAGTTGGTGGAAGTCCTGCATGTCGCGCATGCTCTTCATGCAGTCCGGCGTGGTATAGCAAACGCCGGGCATATATGAGTGGTGGATGATCACGTAGGGGGCGGGACCCTGGAAGTGCTCCACGGATTTGGGCAGCCGGGCACCCCAGTCGGAGCGGGACAGGAGTCGAGCGTTGGCCACTCCAGATTCGCCCAGATTCACAGCGGGCTGGCTATAGCCTGAAAATATATAGATAAAGGGATCTTGGATTAGTCTGGGTTTGTAAATAAATATAATTAAACTTTCTAAACATCCGGTTTTAGAATACACAATCTGAAATTATCACTAGGTAATGATTAAATATTAAATTTAAATTTATATTTCCGAATTCTTGTAAATGTTTATTAAATTCACTTGAATTTCGATGAGTGGTTAGGTACATCCCGCTTGGAAAATTTTGGCTCTTAAATTTTTGTTTTCGGTGTGAACCGTTTTGTTTACATTTATTTTCGTGAATTCCTTAGCGTGGCGTAAACAAGTTCAATTTTAACTTTTGCCATGAGTTATATCTGGCACACTAAAACTCTGGCACTTCCAAGACAGTCAGCATTTGTCGGCCCTAATTGCAAAGGGGGCGTGTGTAAAAAATGGGGGTCGTGCGGTCTGCGGCGTTGCTACCGTACATCGCTCACATTCCATTGATAAATGATAGCCGGGTTCCCCACGCGGCGCTGCTGTCTGCGGATTTCTGCGGCGGTGGCTGCGGTTCGGTTCCGACGAGCCACGATTTTCAACTGACGTCCACCGACTCCGCGACTCCCCGATTCCGCTGAAAATCCCCGTTACGAGCGAAAAAACAAGTCGCCGATCGTCGATCCGATTGGCAATAGCGATCGTCATCAGTTGCTGCTCGCTGAGCGGGAATCAAATATGCTAAACTGCCGATGTTATAGGTGATTTTTATTTGATTTCGCATTCACACATATGTGTGTGTTCGATATTCCAGGGTAAAAGCGAGGGTTATTGGTGTGATATTCAAGTAAAGTTTTTATTAAAGTACTGTAGCACATTTCCTCAGTCCACTAGTTGGCCGGAAAATTCAGGCAGCACTAAAAAAAGTATTTTTACTCTTCAAAAATAAATATTTGGCCCCAACTTCAAGCCAAACATTGCATGTATATTATTTTTATATATTTTGCGCAATATTTTCCGAGGCCTTAGTAGTGGAGGTAAATATTTACATTGGCGCACAGAAAATTGCTCGCTGTGTTCGCGGGATGAAAATCGCGGACTATCTTCAGATATCAGATGTATCTATTTTGCTGGCTCAGTAGGGCATTCTCGATTCGTTTTGGCTTAGGCCACATCACCGTGACTCAGCTTAAAGCGCTCAATGCGAAATGCCTGAAAGCCAAATGGCAGAGGAAGCCGACTCGCAACAGGTGCTACGGGTCGGGTATCATCTATCAATGGCGTGGCGCTTGGCCGTTGACACTGCGGGCCGGAGAAAAGGCCGGAGCGAGCTCAGTTCAGTTCCGTTTGGCCCTGGTTCCCCTCCGTGAGTCATAAATGCAAATGCTAATTCAAATTCAAACTCAGACTCCAATCCGAAAACTATTTCATTCAAATTCTGCTTTCTGTATGCTGCCCGGGAGTTGGCAAACATAAAAGGGAAGTTCCGGGGAAGGGGAGTTTGCACTCATCGCCTTGGCATGTTTTCCGGCGTCTGCCAAAACTTCGGTCCGCCCCTTGCGCCTGCGAGGGAGTACGCCCTTAGCATTTATATGCATACGGAAAACTTAGAGCGGGTGCCGATGGAAAAGCCGGAAAAACGGGCGACGGAAACAGGAGACGCAGCACTTGACTAAGTTAATAGCGGCAGTTTCTAATTAAAATTTACGAAGAGCGAAAGTTGCGTGGGCACACACAGTCGGGGTCAATATAATAGCACTTTTAAACAATAATAATATAATAACCATAACGTGCGTTTCACATTATTTATTAGCTATTTATTGGTTGCTTTAAAGTTTCCTTAGGAATACAAAGAACCCCTAAATTAATTAGATTCGGGAAAAGCTCCGTTTAATCTGTCCCTAAACTGTCTTATTGTTTTTATTTTTCCCTATTAAATATGCTTTTATATGCTTTTCGAGCTTTTAACACCCGAGTAAAGGCCGTTATGTTTTAGAAGGTGTTGAAGTGAATATTAAATGAAATATTTAAATAATAGTTTGAACAGAAAATACGGGTTTTCTCTTGTAATGTTTTAGTTCATCGTTCAATCTATTTAAATTTGAATTTTATAAAAACTGCCATTAAGGATGTCGAATGCTGTCACTTTCTCCGCATCTGGTTGCGAGTGTCGCGCCCGCAGTTTGGCACCTATCCGGTATCCAGGATTCTGGATCCTGGACTTCATCGGCGGCACGTGCTTGAATAATAAACAGAGCAGGAAATAGCAGGAGTACGAGGATGTGGGGTGACTGCCAAATCGTTGGCTGTTTAATTTATGCCGCTTAGTTTTTAGTGTGTGTGTAACATGTTAATTACATTTATATTTACAGCCGAGCACGAAGGGCTGGAAATCACCCCGCTCCCCTAATTGCTGCCCTAATTACGCGGCCTAATAAAGTAAACATTAAAACCCGTCGGCCTAATCAATGTTGCAAACTTTGTGTGAACAAGTGTTTGCACACACATAGTCCCTCCCCCAATTCACACCCTCGAATGCCAAACTATCGCCCCACCTGAGCTTTTACCTGCACTCCGCAAAAAGTAATTTCGCTGGCAGAGGCGCAAAGTTCTTTGATAATTTTCGATTAATCCCACGGACGGTTTATCGAGCCCGAGTTGCCGCGCTGATTAAATTCTCGCATAATTGAAGTATTTAAATTACCAGCGAATAATTAGAGTGGCAGAAATACTCAAACACTCACACACACACAGAGAGTGTAGTGGAGTGGTCCCTTAGGTAGTTGTTTGTTTTTAATCAGGCAAAGCACATAATAGAGACATTTCAATATTATTATGTATGTTGACGATGCCGAAGAGCAGCCCGTCAGTCTGCCATTAAACAAATATCCGTGCAGCAATACATTGTTTCGGGGGAATGTGCGAAATTAAGTCACGCTCGATTACAACAAGAATTAAAAGGCAACCGGCAAAAAAAAAACGACCAATACCCGTACAACGGGAAAACAAAAAGTACCCGGAGCAAACAAACAGAAAAAAGAACACAATAAAATCAGTAAAAAAAGAGAGAAAAAACAAACAAAACCGGAAAAGAAAGCGAACGTTCTAGGTCGAAAAGCCGATGATTTAATTCCCTTTGCTAATATATTTTAATCTATTTTGTTAGTTTATATTTTTGATCTAGCCTTTGACCTTTAAATTTTGAAACAAACATGTTTGTCTGATTTTCTGGGTCTTCAACCGGAACCATAAAACATTTAGGTTGACACAAAAATCTAATCATCTAAAAAATATTCTGTTTTCAAGCAAGAATTTCAGCCATGACTTTGAATAATATTTAAAGAATTTCTGTTTTAGTTTTTCTTAAGAAATTGAATTGGATATTCTATTCCACAGGCGTTATTATTATTATACCTTTTCATTCCATTCCACAAACAATATTTTTACTACTTTTGTCTATTCCACAAAAACGCACTCAAATATTTGCATTCACCTTTAAAAAATTAACATGTTACGTGCTTATTTTTCGTTTATTCACAAGAACGTAGGGAATATTTAAAATTTGTTCTTTTTATTATGGTCATAATTGGCTCAATATAAAAATGTATACTGATATCAAGTTTCATTGATATTTTTATTCGAGAGCGAGAACGCCGATTTCCTCTCTGAAATGCGTCTTTAAGCCGGGGAACTTGATAAGCGACTCTGAGCGTCGGTTAGGGTGCGAATATAATTATGAATATTAAAATCAAAAACCATTTCACTCGCCCGCTGGCTGTCAGGCCGTAAATGACAATTTTGTTAAATGTCAGTAATTAATTGAAACAAAAAATCACATATCTGACGGCAAATTGTGCATATATTATATATGGAACACCTATCAGAGTTCGCTGAATATATTAATATTATCGTGGGGCTATCACTGCTCAGCTGACGCTGATTGCAGTTGATGGGCGCTCAGGAATTCAAAAAAATAAAAACCTAACCATTACTGCGATAAGGCGGTTCGCTATCTCCCCAATTTCGTATATCGTACTCTCAGGGGCATGTCGATAAGGAAGACTCTCTAACACCCGGCACTTACCCATCATGGATAGCAAAACTAATCCCAGTGCTGTCATGTTGCTTGTTGTTTGCTGATGTTGCTTGTTGTTTGCTGATGCTGTTGCAATTGTCTCTCTGGCTTTTCAGCTACTTAGGAACTTGTGTGCGCGCACAAAATGTGACTTTGATTTAGGAACTTTTGTGTCGATTGCTGCTGGCTTTTAGTTGATTGTTGTTTGTTTGTTGGGTTGTTTGTTTCGTTGTTTGTTTGCTGCCGTGTTTGTTATTTGTAGGCAAGCTGTGGCAAGAGTTGTGCGAAATTTCGACGGTGTGTGAAGGTCAGACTTTGGTTTGGCAGCTTTCTGCTCGCATTGCGGCCTTATGCTCGGTATCACAAGCGCGAATGTTGGCCAGCATAAGGGCGGGCCCGAGTTTATAGAAAAATTCACACCGATTTCGCACCGCGTCGCTGCTGACGTCGCTGTTGGCGTCGCTGCTGCTGCTGCTGCTGATTGTTGTTGCCGCTGCTGCTGCCGTAGGAGCAATGCCAAACAAATGGTTAATCGCATGAAACTTATGGCCCGATCGCTCTCGCCGCTCGCTCTTTAATTTTCGATTTCGCGACCGCTACCGCTCTCCGGAGTGAGCTTTCTGCTGGCGCCTCTGCCTCGGCTACCGCCGCTGCCTGCGCTACCGCCGCTGCCTCAGTCGACGTCGCAGCTGAGGCTGAAGTTGATAAAGCTGTTATCAGCCACTAAGTTCCGCTAAGGTCACGCTGTGGTCTTTAGGGAAATTTAATACGGCGATCTAGCATTTTGCGGTGAATTACCCATGCCTTTGCGAATTCATTGGCCCCATTCAACCGCATTTCACCTCTTCCGATCGCCGGTACTTTTTCCCATCCGAAGGGTTCTTTTTCGAGCACTGGTGTTACGAGGGCCCCCACACGTGTCAGCGTGAGTAGGCACTCCGCCTTATAGATATGGGCGCATAAAAAGAAAAATGGTGTACTTGGACTTGCAATAATATTTAATAATATAAAAATAAATATTATATTTATATTGTTTTTTTTATTTAATTGCGACTTTATTTCAAAGCTTTGCACATTTAAGAACATTTTATTTATTTAATTTATTCTCTAAAAAATTTGTATATAAAATTCTATCTTTTTATCTTGTTTCGGTCATTATTTGTGTAATCAATTTACATTTTTATTATTCATATTCAAAATTATCAAGCCACTTTTCTCTGCGTGCACGAAATGAGTATACTTTGGCCTATCACTTTGATATGCAATTAGGGTTAATCATTGAAATTGAAAACGTTGCCTAGGCTATAGGGCAAAATTCACGCCTCGCAATCACAACTTCCGACAGGGGCGAGTGATTAACAATTATAACTGTTTTGGTTTATGACGATTAGGGCATCGTGATGCGGATGGGTGATCATATGGATTGAATTGGGCAGGCACTCCACACATTCAAGTAGTTCAATATCGGTCAGTCTTGAAGGTTGCCGCTGATAAGGGCTCCCTATCGAGCCCATAAATCAGTCAGGGGGAACTTTGTTGACAATCTCTCCAAACAATAGTTGTATGAACAATTGTTAGTGGGCTAAGTTCGCAATCAACCAGCTGCAGACACTTTTCGACACTCAACAATGGCAAAGGTTTCAGTTTGTAATTGTTGTCTCTACATGACAATTTATTATTGTCACTGTTACTTGGCCAAAGTTTCGCGAAACAAAAAAATCACTCATAATCTATGACTCATCTATTGTTTTAACCACCTCTTTCAAAAATACTACTATTCAATTTTTGAAGACACAGATGGGGTTTTATTCTTGTATTTTGATTTGACAAATGAATGAGCCCATTTCCATAGCTTCAGGTGATTTTTGGTAACTGGAAATTTCGCAGTGTCATCGATGTATTTAAAATATATTTAGTCATAAAATTAAATCGGATAAAAGATTGGCAGTTGCTAACATTTTATTTAATAAATGATTTAATCGTATCTATAGCTTTTGGTGACAGCGTTTGTTTTAAATTTTTATATTGTGCTCTTTGACATTTTTGAATGATGTTCCCATTGTTTTGTAATGTCTATGAAATTAATAAATATTTTTGACCATGTTGGGAAAATTAATTTTATTTGCACAAATACAAATTTAGAAATAATTGTAATTTGATTATTACTTGTTAATGCGAAATTGCACAGTCTGAATTTTCATCTTTAATAATTGAATAGGGTGTGTCCATATTTTCTTGTGTTTTGAGGAAAGTTTGGTAGATCCTTTTTTTAAATTTTGAGTCCTATACTTTTTATTTATCTTTAAAGATATTAGAATGTAATCGATTTTTTAAGGGTTTATCTTGTTCGAATTAGGATTAATCTTTTTAAAATCTCGATATACTTTGTGTGTGGTCACAATTTCGGTTCCTATACCGAATACTGTGACTTTTTCGCAGTGACTTTAGTGGCAGCATCTCTGCCGTTCTCTGTGTCATTTGCTTTCTTTGACCACCGCCACCGGACATACTCTTTTAATTTGTATTCGTGTGATTTAATTTTATTTTTTTTTGGTCCGGGGATGCCCCTTGGTGGGATCGTTTTGGTTTTGGGGGAAGTCCGCTGCAAATGCGGCGGGTATTAAATTGCCTTAGTCGGAGTGCCGAGATCGGATGGATAGACAAATTAACAGCATTTTATTTTCCGTCGTCGATTTATGGCGAACAAGCACATTCCATCTTCATCTCGATCTTAATCTGAATTTGTTTTTATTTCGTATCTGCGAGAGAGTGTGAGCACAGGTTTTTCGGGTCGAAAATTTTAGGGGGAGCACCGCCGAAAGACCGCCAGATGCGTTCTGGCGCCCCGGCCAAAGGAAGTCCAAATCACCGGACTCATTTTCTCTACCTCTGCTGCTTTATTTTATTTGCTGTTTATACTTGCGGCAAGGTAAACACGCAGACCACACCCCCTCCGCCCCCCGCGCAACCGACCCTCGAACCCAATATTTATTACACTTCAAAAAGGGGAAATTTCTCGAACGCTCTTGGAAATTGTTGAATTGTTTTAGCAACAAAATAGTTGTGGCGGTACTTACCGCAACTTGCGGCCAGCTGTCGCTGCTCGAAATGCTCCGAATCCGTGAGGACTGGTGGGGGAGGATTTGTGGGGTTAGTGGATACGGATCCAGACGCCTTGTCGCCCATGCTGCGTGCCAATGTCTTTGACGCTAACTGACTGAACTGAAGTCCGAAGCCATCGAACAGAACTCAACTATTTCGGTCCGCTGCCAACAGGTGCCTTTGATTAGGTCTTGTAATCTCGAGTTGCTCTTCCATTTTTTGGGGGGTAGTTCGGGAGTTCTAATGGACACATAATCCACTCGTTTGGAATAAAAGAAGTCCGTATTCTCTTTCAATCTTTTTGAGTGCAGAAAATTAGTTTTACCCCATTGTTCGAGAGTAAGCGTATTATATCCATATCAATAATTAAAGATATTTTACGACCACAGGTGTGCGGTACAGATAAACACACCGAAAAAAAAGATGTTTTTAATTTAATTGTGTTTTTCAGTACTACAAATTCGATAAAAATTTTATTTTACTCCTGGAAAAATTTAAATACTTTGTTGTATTTAAACTTTTTACTTCAAGAGACTAAAACAAATCAAGAACTTAACAAAGCAATTCAAATGCGATAAAAATCAAGTAAAGCGGGTTCATCAAGGGGATATAATTATCTCGGTGGATCCCCCAAACACTTGTGGGATCAAATCCCCTAGTAAGAGCATTGCCCGTTCGACTTTCGGCGGCTAATAATGCTGACCATTGTGTTCATAATTTACCATTCGACTGGCTACCCGCTAATCGCACATCTTATCAGGGTATTAAGTGCCGCTCACTAACTACGCCTTGGCACGCTCTCCCCATGAAAAACGCGGAGGGGGCAAAAATCACACGCAAAATCACAGGCCTTCTTTTATTCACCCCCGCCCCTTTGCCCTGCGAACACCCCACCAAGGTAAACATTATCGGGCCAGAAGCTTTACACTCTCGCACATTAGACAAATAAACGGGTAAACGGGTGTCTCTGCTGCGGCTGTGTGTATTACAATTAACAAAAGTAATTGCACTCGCTGGGGATTCCCCGGGGCCTCAATGAAAACTCTTTGATGGGTAAGCCATGCAAGAGTCTCTATCTACACGGCGAGCAAAGCGGAATAATTTCACTTGGATACCATCGGCCGTATCAGTTTTCAATATTTCATTTTCCCTATCGGAATAATCTGAATCGTTATAAATTGGTCCCAGGCCAAATGAGTATCAGCCAATAATGTGAAGTAGTAATTTATTGATATGAAGCTGAAGCCAAGGGCCGGTTTTTCAATGTCTGATGAAAGACAGGTGCTATTGTAGATAGTGGGGGTTTTTTTAATTTAAAGTGTTTAATCAAGTGTTCAGAAAACTGACCTTATATAATTTGGGTATTTATGTACAATGTACATAACCCAAAGGGTGGCACAAATTTATTTGCTAATTAATTTCTTAGTTAGAAAATGGATGTTCTCTCAGACTAAAATTAATATATAATCATATGTATATTTCAACATTTTGCATTGAAAGATCCAAGAATAACTTGCTGGTAGTAAATAATTGAAAAACGACCAAACATTTACCCTATATTATTATTATGGATTCTTCATTATGATCTTAGTTATTAAAATCAACAATTTTATTTTTCTGCGTGCACGCTCATTTAGAGATATGCCAACATCCCCAATTGAAATCTTCGGCAGGGCGAGCAATTCATCAGATGTCGCCATATCATTGTCTGTGCTGATTAGTTACGCCTTGCTGGTTGGCAGGCAGATTCCGATTCCCCCAAAAACCGAGGGTGAAATACCAGCAGGCGAGGGGAGGGTATTTGGGTACTGGGTGCTGGTATCCTTGTAGCGGCACGCACATGCCATATATTAGGACGCATAAAATGACAAACGACTCGCGAGGCGCGTAAATTGAAAACTCGCTGAGCCTGTGCGAGATTGCCTGTGGAAAGGATGATGGCGACTGCGGGGGGAAAGGGGGGATTGTGGGGGGTATATGGATTTCGGCGACTTTTTGGCTGTTTGTTATTGCTGCCTGAGCTGTCTCACTCTCTTGCTGGCTGTCGGCCAAAACTTTGCCAAAGTATTCAAATTAAAATTTCAATTAAGGAAGTGAATTTGTGTGTGCCGAAAGTGTATTAAGTCTATATAGCTGTGGCATCTTGGCATTTCACTGCTTCTGTATTCCACGTGTGCCACGCCCCCACCCTCGCCCACTTGGGTATCCTCCGCCTGACAGGAGGCTAAAACCGAACAGCATCACCAAACCGAACCGAACTGAACTGAACAGATCCCGCCCAGCTGTAGCATCCCGCCTACAAGCGGCATCGTCGCCTGTTGTTTGATTTATTGCCAAAGTTTGTCGTCTGTCATATGACATAAGGAGTACTTTGTTGGAATATTTTACATTTTACGCGCCCCCCCAAAAAACACACCCATACACCTTGCCGGCTGACATTTTCCATTGAATTGGGAATGATGCCGAAAGAGGCTTTGGTGGGCATTATTAATAATGCAATCAATTTGTAAACAATTTGGCATATATCAATGCGCTTCGTGCTGCCCATAAATCTTTGGGAAATTAGCTCAGTCAGTCCTCCCCTCTTGTCACGAACTTTTGCACTTCAAAATATTAAAAGCTAGTGAGAAACACAAATAAAGTTAAAGGGTTCTATTGGGAAAAATAGTTAAAATGAGGCTATATATTTAAGGAATATTTGTTGATTTGTAGGTCACGTAAAACATATAATATGAATGAATTTATTATTAAGAGGTCTTAAAGATAAATTCTATCTTTTATAAAGACTTAATTGTTCTTCATTTAAACTAAATTTTCTTCTTTTCAACATTCTTTATTTTAAAAATATTTAATTGACTCCAATGTGAATTATTTCTAACAACATAAATGCCTGCCAACATATAATTTCATACAGCTGAGCTTTTATAAAGCCTCAAGACAAGATATAATCCTTGCCTTTTACCATTTCAATGGTAAAACAATAAAGTCTATATTTTTGGCAAGCTCTTATGTTGGTAAGCTAAAATTTAAATTGGGATCAATTTGGGCAGAGAGTCAACCAGTTATTTCTTTAGCTATATATTTTGTAGCACCGCAAATCCATTGGGATTTACCCCAGTATATTTTTTTGCGAGTGTGGTCATTTGCATGCCGGCCCCCCTGACAGATTGCTGGGCTGCCCTCTTGATGGATTGGCGGCTGGTTCTGGCCTGGAAATGTTGAGGGGGCAGGGTCATGGCAGCAGTTGCGAGTGTGGAGTGTAGAGTGTGGACAGGGGGCGGTTCCAACAGATTTTGCCATATTTCTGCGTTTTGGCTGCTCCAGTGGCTTCCACTGGTGGTGGTGCTGCTGCTGCTGCTGCTTTGGCAGTTAGTGACAGCTGCGGTGATGGCTGCAGTTTGGGGGAAACACAAAAAAATGACCAAAAATGGAGAGCCGGGAAAACCATAACGCTTGTCCGGTTGGCAGCCATGCATTTCCCAACAGCGAATGAGAATTGGGTTCTCGGTTCTCAGCCTTTGACTGGGCCCAAAGAATGGAATTCGTTTGCTGTGCTGTTTGCCCAAAATTTTCTGTTTTTCCCCAAATTTCCAATGGTCAGAGTAGGCAGCCCATAAAGGACAGTCAACAGACAAAAGGGAAATGCCACTCGTACAGCAGTAAACTTTGAGCTCTCAGAACCCTGTATCTCCGGTGTGGCATATATCTGCTTTACAGAGGTGAGTTCAGAGGCGAACATCCTCAAGCTAATTGAACGAAGTTGCCTTGTGAAGTGTGTGTCCAGCTGAGATTCCTCTCTGGCGGAAGGGAAACTGCAAATGGAAGTTCCCATTCTCCTTGGCTCGCCTTGGCCCCAATTTAAAAGTTTATGAACTTGTCAGCCAACTGGCGCCTCCACTCAGACACTCACCCCACTTCTCCTTTTTTTGTGTGTATTTTGACAGGAGGAAGGCGAAGGACCGAGGACCAAGGATGTCGGGGCGCCTCAACCAGCAGCACGCGGCGTATGCGCAACGCATGGAGCAGGAGAACAACCGGGTGCAGGCCACTCAGGCGGTGAACAGCTACTACAGCCACTGGGGCAAGGTCACATCGCGCTTCGAGAACTGGACCAACAAGGAGTACTACGAGAAGGCGGACCAGCAGCTACAGTCGCGCCGCGATCAGCAGGAGAAGCAGGCGGCCCTGGTTGAACGGCAGAACCGGCTTCGCCAGCTTCTGGCCGCCGAGAGCGAGGCCTACGACAAGGAGATGGAGCGGCGTCGCCGACCGCGGGAGCCCGGCGGTGGTGACCTCCAGATGCTGGGCCGCGTCAACCAATCGCTCAAGGAGCAGGAGCAACTTCGTCGGAAGCTCGAAATGGAGGCCAAGCTCTACGGTCGCTGGCGTCATGGCGTGGACGATGAGAAGCTGCTCTACCAGTCCAAGTCGGACAACGAAGTGCTGGCCAAGCTCAACTGGCTGGATCGCCAGATCGAGAATCAGCAGCAGCGCGAGGAGCAGCAGGCTCTGGCCGCCGAAAGGCAGCTGCTGCTGCAGCAGGAGATCAGCCGCACAGAGCAGGCCCAAAAGGAGCGACAGCAGATCCGCGAACAGCAGTTGCGGGAGCTGCGTTCCCTCCAGGAATCGCACATGTCGGAGCTTCGTCTGCGCCAGCAGGAGGCGGACAAGCTGAAGGAGGAGGAGCAGCACTTCCAGCTCTTCCTGGGCGAACTGGACAAGGAGCGGCAGCTGCTGGAGGAGAGCAGTGCTCTGGTGCTCAAGCGAGTCGACTCCGGACACGCCTTCAATCTGAAGAAGATCAAGGTGTTCATCCGCCAACGCAGCGAGGCCAGTCGCAAGCAGATCTCCCTGTGCGTCAACATGCTGCAGCGCATGTCCAAGTATGTGGTCAAGACGGAGGAGCTGCAGAAGCTGCTGGCGAAGTACCGCCTTCAGTTGGAGAACGAGGAGCATGCCTGCGCCCAAATAGAGACCATGTACGAGTCGGAGGCCAAGTACAATCTGCAGCGCTGCGAGGAGAACTGGCGGGAACAGCACCTGCAGCGCTACGGGGAGCTGAGCAAGCTGATCGACCAGGAGAAGGATTGCCTGGGCGGCCTGCTGCAGGAGAATGTGAGCCAGCAGCAGGCGTTGGTGGAGCTGAGGACCCAGCACCTCAATGGCATCGAGCAGGCCAACAAGCAGCTGGAGCAACTTAACCAGGAGCAGGCGGAGTTGGGTGTACCATCTTCGATGGCCTCCAGTCTCAAGGAGGTGGAGTCTCAAGCAGCCCTTTCAGAGGACTCCGCGGTGGAGGAGAGCCTCGTCCCTAAAGTCAGCAACTCTTTCTCCAATCTCAACCTGGACGTGTGGCAGGATCTGCCGCCGGCTCGTGGAGAAATCGGAGTCTCGCAGCGCCTGAACAAATCTCGCTCCCTCAATGTGGTCACCTCGCAGACAGCCGCTCCTCCGAAGTTTGCACGCAAGCGAGTGGCCTGGACCTAACATTACAATCTTATATCGTCGTCGTTCCAGCTTAAATTTTGAATGGTATTATTAGTGCTAATGCTAGTTTAGTTTAACTTTTTGTGTAAACCCTTCACCACCCACTTTCCACTCTCCACTTTCCCCATACATATGTATGTACAACCCACTTCACTACACTCCAACCCAATGAATTCCACTCCACACCCCAATGAACACCACTCTGTGCACTTGTAGTTGATAAGGCTGATAGATAGGCGCTCCCCCCGAGGTGGGGTCAATAAATCACTCAATTTGTGGGCCAGCAGGAAGTAAGGCTTTAATTATTGTCAAGTGCAGGACGGGGCCAGGAGCGGTTCTTTCTGCCAGCGGGTGAAGTTCCAAGGATATATAATAAATTTATCTGGTAAGTACAAATATTGTGGCTTTAAAAGAACGTAGCTTAGACACCACAAGTCAGAGTTCCGAGCAGCTTAGGGAAATATATGCGATGAGCTTGTCAGGCGTTTGGATTCGAAATTGTTCAATTATGGCCGACACAATTCCCTGGCATCAGATGCGATTAGCATTCAATCGAAATTAATATTTGTAGACTTGGCCAAATCTCTGGGCAGCTTCTCTCGGGTGTAGTGGTAGTAATTTAATGTTACACATACACACTCCCAGGCATTATATAATGCATGTTATTCATCATCTATTTGAATAGATTGCCACCGCCCATTCCATCAGCCGTAAGCTGCTCCTAATGGCCGAAATGCTCGCAAATGATGATGAATACGTTTCAATTACTCCACTCGAACTCTCCATCATCAGGAGCAGAATCGGAATAGGAATCGTTATAGCGAGTAGGAATGATATGCTGTGCGAGGCAGTCAGGTAGCCAGTCCATTGAGTGAGCATTTATGAAATATTGGGGAATTATTATCGGCAATTATCTGGGCCAAAGTCGAGCCATTGAAAAACATTGCAGTCGATTTGGTGGCAATAAAAGGAAGCACCCACCAGAGGTATGCATGCGCTCGATAAAGCCACATGTATGAAGAGGTATGCAGGCGCACATAAAGCAAGATATAGCATATAGCAACATATAGCAAAATATGCCAAGCGCATCGCTTCGCAGCGCCTTTGATTAAATTTCTTTGAGTGTTTGGGGCACACAAAATGCAATTTCATTTGCACTAATGGCTGGCGTCGCTGCCTCGCCCGCTGCCGCTGCTTCTGCCGACTGCACTTCCGCTGCCAGCAACAATGCAGCGGCGCAGCAGAGGAAAAACTGGTCGAAAAACGGTAAAGGAGAGCGAAAAAACAACAAAACGAGCGAAAAAAAAGATTGTTAAATTGAATTAAAACCAACAGCACAGCAGGGGGAGGGGGTAGGGGCCTCGGCTGCCAGCGGCGGCCAAGCGGAAGGTATATCATGATGCGAAGAATTGCATGCCGCTCCGGAGGACCCAGCACCATCACCAAAAAGCCCTCGCCCCCTCACTCAACCCCATCTGCTGGCATCCGTCTTTAATGGTGTTACTGCAACGGTGGCCATTACCAACTCTTTGGGCCATCTGCACAAGATTTGTTCAAGCAATAAACGGAATTTGAAGGCTTGTTCAGCTGCAGCACCCAACCACCCAACCTACCGAACAGCCAGCACAAAAGATTACATTGTTTGCCGGGCGGGGAAAAGGAACTATTATTTTTTGCAGGGCCCTAAAAAAGCATAATAGCAAAGTTCAACATTCAATTGTAGTAAGTTGAAATCAATTACTTAAAATTTATGAAAGTTAATTTAAGCCAAATCCGCCAAGTCGATGGATAAACATGCTTTCCATTATTACGAAAATAAAACATAGTAGAAATCAGAAAATTCAATTAGAATTATATAACTTTTTAATAGCCTTAATCATTGCTGGTTAAATTTATATAACTTTCTGGTAGGGTATAAACTGAAATACTTACATATACAAAAAAACAAACCCCAACAGGATTAATATTTAAAGCACGATTAAATGAAATCCATCTTGTGCAATATTTAAGCCCTCTTTATTGCAGCGAAATTATTAAATTTAAGTTAATTAAAACAAATGAAATTTAATCACGTAGTTATGTAGCATTAGGATAATATTTCCTATTAACGTGCTTCGAGTTCTTTAAAATAATTAAAATCTCATTAAAGTAAAGTAATTTCAGAAATCCACTAAAAATAAATAACAATTGCTTCCTCACAAAAAAGTATTAACTTTGTAACTCTAAAAAAATGGATACTAATTGAGGATTAATAATTAAATTCTGAACTTTTTAATATGTTGCATGTTAGTTTAATGAGTTTCACTATTATGCGGCCTATTTCATTGCCGCAATTATCATAACATAATAAACGCAGCTTGGTCAGCATAAAGCATAAATAAATAAGCCCGAATTCCGACATTTATTAATTTCATCATTCGCGATGTCAAACCGTCTGTCGCTTGTTCATTTGTGCTGTCAGCCAGCCTGTCATCTCCACTCTATTCAGATCCCAATTCGTGCAATCAAGTTATTTGCTTTGGCAGCCGAGTGTATTTGGACTAGGCAACTAGGTGGCTTTTCAGCTGCCACGCCCCCTCCTAGCCCCTCTTATCCCATACCTTACCACCTGGAAATGTGCGTGGAAATTCGAGGCAAATTTCCGCATCAAAGAGTTTGCGTGCGCTGGATTTGTGGCAACGTGTTGCCGTCAACGGATTACGGAATGATTACAACAGGTGCGGATTGGCTGGGCATCGCGGGGCAACTCCTCCTTCCTCTGTCTGCTTTCGGGTGGCATAATCTGTCAGCCGACTGTCCCTTAAACAAGATTAACTGAGGATGAGGCAGTGGGATGCGAAGGATGGACCTCGGACCCAAAGAAGCAATAATGCGATGAAGGCGGGGGCTCACGTCTGCCACAGCATCCTCACATCCTCACAACCGGAGACTCAGACTCAGACATATAGGGCCTTTTCATCCGGGGCGACATTTACGTCAACAATTCAGCAAACAATTGGCAAATGTGGCCATAAAAGCATGACAGTTGTCACTGCCGTAGTCGCTGTCCTTAACACCCAAGCGACCCCCCAGCCACACCCTCTTAACCCCCTGCTGCCTTTTGCTACTATGAAATGCACAAAGCGGAAACGGAAGCGGATGCGGAAATACATGTATGCGTGATGTTGCTGCTGCTGATTCTGCTGTTGCTGCTGTTGCTCCTGCTGCAACTTGTTGTAGTTGCTGCCTGTCATTCTGTCCGTCCATTTGTCCCACTGTGCGAGTGATGGCTGAGCCAAAAGCCAACATGTCGCCAACAGACTAAGCCCAGCCAGGCCACACATAATGTTGGCTAAGCCTTCAGTCAATTGCATTCAAATAAGCGACCGAAAGAGACCTCGCAGGGGGGAGGGAAAATAGGAAATAGCCTGGGTGGCTGAATGGCTGGCTGGGAAAATGGTTGGAAAATGCGCTTTCCTGGCCTCCGTTTACATATGCAGAGCTTTCTGCTTTTAGCTGGCAGCTCACAGCTCACAGAGCTCTCACAGCTCAGAACTCAGAACTCAGGAATGTTCAATTTCACCCATGGCCAAGCCCGGGCATCGTTTCATGTATCACTTTATGGCCGTGGTTGGGGATTGCGTTTAAAGTTTAAACAACGTTTGTATTATCTGTGTGCCGGGATATGGAGAGATATGTCGGGAGTCGGTATGCATGGTCGGTAGTCATGGTTGCCATGGCTGGCACACTTCAATGCCACTCCCGATCCCAACCGCCAACAGTTTGCTTCATTACTCTCCCACCTCCTCCTCCCCCTTTACAGTTTTCCATCCCAGTTTTTAAGCATGCAAAAAATGCTGCGTAAATATGCCAACAAAAAATTAAAAAAAAAGAAAAGAGAAAGAGAAAGAAAAACAACAGCAGCAGCCACAACAATAGCAGCAGCAGCAGCAGCGGTGGCCGTGTGAACCACAGCAGCAACAACATCATACAACATACAACATCGACGCTCAGCTCAAATCGGCTATTGTTGTTGTTGCTGTAACATGCTTGCCATTACACACATATACATGTGTAATTCAGTTTCAGTTTCATAACTAAAAAACCATAAAACAAAATTGTGTACACACCACCCGCCCAAACTACGAGTCCCACAGCTGAGTGAGCCACTGAGTGAGCGATCCCAAAACCAGAGCAATTCCGCACCAACCACCCACCCCACCACCCACTCAGTCATCCAGCCATAAAACCACCCACTCAAACACACGGAACAAAAAACATTTTTTAGATGAAGTCATAAATGTTGAATATCCAATTTGCAACTCACTAGATTGGCAAACTTGCATATATTTTCCAGTGGTAATTTAATGGTTTCGGTTAAATGGATTCCCACTGTTAATCATTTAATCAAATAAAACTTTGTGTGGTTTAGCGAAGCCACTGATCCACATAATATTTACTTTAATAATTAAGAAAAAAAACTATGACCTCAAATCGATTGGTTAAAACGATAATTTTTGGTTTCAAGTGATTTATTTCATTTTGCATATGACAAATGCACGCATTTTTTCTGCATGTAGGCCATATGAAACAAATTATTGTCCAATTATTATTCCTTCCGAAATTTTGTTGAATTTTAAAATTTTCCCTGTGTACCCAACCGCCCACAGCAAAACAAACAGAGGATGAAGAGCGGCATGGCAGTGTGGGGATAATCAGAAGCGCCGACTGAGCGACTACAGTGGAGATTAGCTAAATGAAAAGCCCTCGAAAGGCAGCTCATGCGCGTGCAAAGAGGTCACAAGTTTGTTCTCCGGCCAAACTTCCCCGCAGCCACAAAAGGCCAACGAGAATGCAACAGTAACAATGTCAAAGTTCAGGTTCGGCTATGACGATTACCATTTCACCTACAATTGCCGGAGAATGGTACATATGTTTTATTTTTAGTTATAAACTTATTTACATTGAAAATTATATATTTTCTTGAACATAAGTAAATTGGATCTGTATAATTTTTCTCAGTGAAATACAAATGAGTTATGCTCTGACGAAGAAGTCACTCGCAGTCATGTTAGTCACACATGATTAGGCTCGAAGGGCGATTAAATCATTATGGGAAAGTCCCTGGGAACCAAACGAAATGAAAACGTAAATGTCGCAATCTTTATGGAATAGTACTTAAATATTTAACAACAAAGGTATTATCTAAAATGTATTATCTAAGGCATTTAAAAGTAAATGCTGCCCTAGAAATTAAAAAACATTAAAGTACCGAAAAATAAAATATAATCTTTACTACAAAACTATTGAA